CACTTTAGTCGAGAACTGTCAGTCGCAATTCAAGGCAGATGTTTTTAAGCAAAACCAAAGACGCACCTGGTCTCTATGAAAAAGAACACTATTGATCAAATAAGGCCAAGCACGAAACGAAAGATGTAGCGCATGAGGTACTGTAGATGCTCATGCATGTACAATTCCCTGCTTGGTGTGGGAGATTGCAGGACCAGATATGTATATACTGTATGTGCTGATTTAGGTATTAACAACAGGAAAGTTTCTAAAATCTGCAAAAATGCTTCATGCAATCTGTTTGTCTCCATATGTAGGCAAGTGCAAATGTGACTGGGAAATGACAAGAGATATAAACTGCTACAGCCCTGGCATTTAAAAAAGCATTGAGAAGCAAGGAAACTGTGTTTTTTGTATGGTTGCACAAAGGATGCCTTTAATTAAAAAAAAATAATAATTTGTATGCCTAATAAAATGCCTAATGCTGGCAATGAAATACATTTTATGCCAGCAGGTACTGCTGCATGCTGTATTGTTGTGCATTTGATAAATAAACTTTGATTGGTACCAGTATAAACTGTTAGCTTTTCCAAACAACATATATCTGTGATAGAACAGAAGATGTATTTAAAGATGTAGGTGACAGGGAGCGTTAAAATTTGATTTGTTATGGAGCTATTTGTCCATCATGTTTAGTGTTGCCTGATGCAGTAGGTTTTAAAGATAGTATGATGGATGATATTATTTATCTGGAAAAACTCGAGAGGAAACCTTCTCAGAAGTTCTCTGGGGTCATGATTTGATTTTTCACAATTATGAATAAGGCAGGGTTGTACGTTGAGGCAGAGGTGAGCACAGCGCTGGGGCCCTGGGTTCAGTTCCTGGGGTGCTGTCTGTGTGGAGTCTGTATGTTCTCCGGCAGCTTCAGTTTCCTCCCACAGTCCAAGGACTTGCTGGATGGTTAATTGTCTTCTGGGAAAATTGCCCCTGGTGTGAGTGTGTGTCCCGCAATAGACTGGTGTCCCATCCAGGGTGTATCCCGCCTTGAGCCTGTTCCTGGCTCCCCACTGACCTGCTTTGGATGTAGTGATTAGAAGATGGATGGACTGATTAATGTTGTATAATTCTAAAGAAATTAACCCCTTCTGCTGTCTGCCTACATAGCCAGCTGTATTGAGGAAGACCCAGTGTTAAGCCTAAATTGTAGTCTTTAAAAGGATCTGACTGCGTAGTGAGAACACCTAGCGTTTTTATTTTTGATCATATTTAAGAGATTGTTTTATTTCGTGGTACAATGGCCCAATCACCGTGAGGCCATCGTCTATACAGTTTGTGATGTTTTGATATGCTTCAGGCCAGAAAGACAATTGTTGCAAAACCTGCTTTGTTCATAAAGACTGTTGTTTTGCAGTGAAAGTCATGTCAGAGGACCCACAAAGAAACTTCCGTTCTGCTTATTATGAAAAGGTGGGATTTCGTGGTGTGGAGGAAAAGAAGTCCCTGGAAATTCTATTGAAAGATGACCGACTGGGTAATGTGCTGATCACGGATGTTTGTGTTTTTTTCCCGCTATGTCTGGTCCACTTTAGAGATTTCCCACTTTTGTTATAGAAAACCAGATCTATTTCTGGGCACATTTGAAAATGTTCGTGTTTAAGAATGTTGTTATACAGTATGCAGACAGCCACCACATAGTACCTTCATTGTAAAGATTCCCATTTAGTTTAATGTACAGACTGTGAATCTGTGATACAGAGAATAAATTTACTTTTTAGAAAGCTTTCATTCTCAATGTTGAACTTAAAAATGGTTGAATGATACATTAAATGAAGATAGGCTAATCATTGATAGATGGATACACTAAAAAAAACAAATTTCAGTCAGTTACAGGTATATATTTCCATTGAGCCCTATCTGTACCAGAATAAAATAATATAATAAGTTTTGTCTTCTTATAGCATTAGCTAAATCCCTATCGGCTTGTGTTTTTCACAAACTTAAAAATTGTAGGACTGGTATTTCCAAGTTCAATAAAAGATTGTTTATACTGGGCTGTTTTTACTGTAAAAATCTGATTAAATCAAGAAGTTTAACTTATTGTGCAGCTGGTTAAAATACAAAATCACCAAATCAAATCCTTTGCAACATGTAATGTTAATGTAATTTTATTTCCTTATTTGACCATGTGGAAGGGTTTGTGTGAGTGAAACCATGTGCCACATAATGACTACATTAAGTTCTGTTCCTCTATGATATACCTTCACCAGCTGCAAAGCATTTTGCAAGGATCAGGACGTTTGAACTTTTAAATCCATTGGTGTAGAAAAAAAATGTGGCACAGTACTGTATGAAGGTGGTGGTTTAAAGAATAAGCTGCTTCAAAGAAAATCATATTGGATAATTTAAAGGCTTTCACCAGATGGGCTAAAGAAGGAATTGTATCTTATCTCTTTCTTCTGAAGCAGTCAGTATATGACTGCCTCCGCACATGAGTAGTTAAGTTAAGGGATTGACCTGATAGGACTGTCATTGGACTGTTGAAAGTATCTGTTTCATTTTGCACTCTACATCATTTAGAGAAGGGACTGATTCATGAGCAAACGTGACACTGGATGAGCTTGATTTGGTCCATTTTGGTGATGGCAAACACACGCCAGTTGTAGTCTGGTTTGTGTAATTAGGCAAATTGTAGCCAATTTACCAAGTGGGTTGAAAGAGAAAAGCTGTTTTGACTATCTGTTCCCAATGTGTAGTGTAGCCTGTTTCCGGGATTTTAATCAACCATTTTACAGGCCTTTTGTAATAATTAATGTTACCCATGGATAAAAACTGTCTTTATGTAAGTATGCATTTAGATAAGAGATAATTAATAAATTACTTTAATTTCAATTTTGATTGATTCACTTAATCAGTTGTAATAATGTTCCTGTGTTAAGCAGGTTTTGGTATTTAAGCTGGGTAATGTCTGATTGTAAATCACACTGACAGAGGCCAAAGGACCAAATCATGTTTGTTATTGTTCCGTTGTACTAGAATAACACTGAAAAAGTTACGCCTCTGCAGAAAGTTTACATACTGTAGATTAATCTAGATGCAGGACTTTTCTTGTTTTTGGGGGTCTGTGCACCAACATGCCTGAAGAGACTGAAACTCAGCATGACACTGAATACTATAGAATAACAAGATATACAGGATTTTTCATCAAAACAGAATAGATGTGCTCTAGATGGGCGGTCTACTGTAATGACAGTGATAGCGCTATATCGCACTTCCCTTTGGTCTGTTTCAATGCAAATTCTGAAACTTCAGGCACATCTTGTATATATTCAAATGTTGTTGTTTTTTTCGCTACACTTGTCTTGAAATGGCCATATCATTATACGAGGCACAAAAGCTTTAGAAATGGAGGATAAATGAGAGTGCGGGACCCTTGTCAATTCCTTGTTTGTTTCCAACAGATGTGGAAAAGCTTTGCACTTTCAGCCAGAGGTTTCCTCTTCCCTCCATGTACCGCATCTTTGTGTGGAAGGTCCTGCTCGGTAAGACCAGCGTTCGGCTCTGGGGGGTCCTGTTTTTTGTGGGTGCACAGCTCTGGGGGGGTCGTGTTTTTTGTGGGTGCACGGCTCTGGGGGGGTCGTGTTTTTTGTGGGTGCACGGCTCTGGGGGGTCGTGTTTTTTGTGGGCGCACAGCTCTGAGGGGTCACGTTTGCATGGTTCCCCTGCTCAGAGAAAAGTCCCAGCCTTTGAGTGCCGAGTTTATTGAGTTTCTCCGAGATGTCTTTGTTCAATTGAGCAGTGTGTCAAGAAGGGCTTTCCTACCCTTTATGAATTTTAGTTTTTTCTGTGGTACGTTTGTCCATTAAATAATGATCTTTTCCCTTTAAATTAATCCTGTTATAAGGAAATGTCTGTGTTTTTAAAAGAGCACAATGTTAAATTTACTTCTTCAATGTCGTTTTATTACATTTAATTTACTTATGACCATTTTCATCACTGTGAAGAGGGCTTTTCTTTCTAGTTATGACGAAACAGAAACACCTTAAACAGATTTTGAATAAAAATGAGCTTTATTTGAAGTTGTTCTTGCTGAGCGAGACTACATAGGAAATTTACTGATCTGTTATACTGTATACTGTATTAGCGAGTAACCCTGTGTCAGTCATTGCTCTAGACAGGTTTCCAAAGAAGCATGCCAATGTTTATGACTGACCCCACTGTGAAAAAGAGGCAAGAGTAATTAAAAAGCTAAAAAACAAATGCAGTGTTTATTATTTGTGGACATTTCCAGGAATTTCTTCCGTCTTAAGACTCAAGAGTTACACTAATCCTTTTGTATTCACTCTGAAAAGATGGGCAGCTTTATCATGGTCAGTTATGACTCGTTTGCATCTCTCAGTATGATTATTATTGCTACAAAATAGAACAGCTAGGAAATTGCCCGAGCCTTATGTAAATGTGAGGCACGCGAGTTCTTAATATTCTCTGGCACATCTCTGGCAATCAAGTAGTAAACGTCTGGGAATCAGAGTCACATGTAGAAACACAAATAATTATAAAGAATAAATAAATCTTTACAACACACCACGCTACACTGTAACACATGTACAGGTAGTAGTAAAAAGTAGAGTAGTAAAATCAGAGTGAAACTTAGAAACACAGATATTTATTAACAGAAAATAAGTTTATATAAAACTTCACGTTGCACAATAACACGTACAGGTCTGTGCATTTCAGAGGCCCTCATCCCAGTGAACTAGGAGAGAACGTTTTTAGTCTGAGGATTCCACAAGTGAAAATTCAGAATTTCCTAAAATGATTAAGACTTCAGGGTCTCCAGAATGTTTAGGTTACTTGTCCAGGATCTGGTATCCAAGACTGACAGAACAAGGTCCTCTTGCATGGCACAAGCATTGAGCAAAGGGTGATGGTGATGTCCCTTCTTCTCCTCTGTTCCTCTTGCTCCCCATCCTCCTCCTTATGGATTCCTGTCTTCTGTCTCTGTGTTTATGCTTTCCCCTATGACTGTCGAAAGCTCCTATGATTTACTGTACAGTTAATTAACCAGATGAAACTGCCAGAAATCCTCTTTAATAATCTGTTTGCCGGCATCTTAACCCTGGAGTTAAGCAGACACCTCAGACCATACCTTTTATGGTCATACCTAAGGCCTTGAGTAGTGCTATCAAAGTGGGAACTGCAAATTCAGTGTTAGATTGTAACATTAATAATAATAGATTTTATGTATGTTTTCCAAAACTCAAAGTACTACAGAATAGTACATGCATAAAACACAAAAATAAAACAAATGGACTGTTTACACATAAGTAAAACAAGTATAAAAATAATAGTAAAATGTTCCATGAGGCATAGTTTTAGAGACCCAGTGAGCAATTGTACAAAAATTCCTCTTATTTTTTTCCAAGCATCAGTTTCAAAGATATCCTTTCATTCTGTAAAGATGAATTAACAAGTTTAAGTGGTGTGTAATGACTGCTCATGAAGGAAAAATGAAATATATGCATGACATACTGAGGGTATATCTTGACGGGGGCAAGTTATGCATATAATTGTAACAAAATACTATAACCTAAATTAAAAAGGAAAACAAACTTTTGATTTATTTTAAATTGGGGAAAAAAATGGCAAAATTAATGCAAAATGTCTGCATTTTTTAAAACTACACTATGTGAAATTACGATTTGTGCTTGGAAGTTATAACAACGGTTTCTTAGATTTCTTGCAAAATTTGTAGCATTTTTAAAAATGTCAAAGTAATTTTTAATAGTTGGAATATGGTTTCTATTTTAGAAATCTTCAAAGTGTGCGATTTGGGGGAAAAAACATTTAATAAAGGCAGTAATGGAAATATAAGCACAGCAAGTCAGCAAATCAGTGAATTTCACGCTTGTCTTTTCAGGCTAGTGTCAGCAATTATTTGCTTTAATTATTTCTTGCAGATAACTTTATCTTTCATTTTCTTTCTTAAAGCCCCGGTAGTGTGCTGATTAACTGCATCCTATAATCTGTAGTGTGCTCATCCCTTCAGTACTTCCACAGGGGAAGTAAACATTTTAGCAAAAAAAATCTGCAGGATTGGATAAATTATAGATTAAGATCCGTTTTTGTATTATCTAACCATATGCATAGCAATGCAAGTGATGTTCCTAATGATGAAGGAACTGTATGTATTGGGGAAATACTGGCTTTTTAAATGTCTCCTGATGTCTCCTTTTTTCATTTTTTGGAGATTTTGAGAAAATGGCTGACCTTGTGATTGTTTGGACCTGATAAGTGGAGTTTTCCTGATCAGTTTATCTCTGTTCCCATGCAGTATTGGGGAAAACGTTGTGATTTATTCTAAGGAATAAAGGCTTGTCCAAAAACTAGACACTCTAGGAAACTTTAATTTTTAGATACTATTAATTAAATACTAACGTTTTTCTCATGATATAAAGTGGCAGAAATCCTTTGACCTACCGAAGCCATAATATGTACAAGAGAGAACGGTTTGATTTTGTATTCTTTCATTAGCCTGATTGCTTCCTGCAGCATTGCTGGTATGAAAGCATGCAAAAGCCGTTTAGATAGATAGATTCCTTTGATAGCCCCATGTATTACTTATATCTCATGCGTTTATGGGTATTTCTTAGTAGTTTTAAATATAATGTGCATTCTGGCTGAGAAACTGTTGATGGACTGCTCATGTGCCTGCTATGTACTCATCCACTAGGTGGCACAGATAAGATAAGACACCACTGCCCTTTCTTTCCACATACTGTACAGTCATAATTTTAATTTCTTCTCTAAGGGTCGTCCATTGTATCTTAAGCCGAAACATAGATTTTCACAATGACCTCTCTTCTAAATTTACTGTACATTCAATACTTCTGAAGTATTAATTCAAGAAGGATTTTCAGTTTCATGCAAATTGATCATATATATTAATTTGCAGTATTGGAATACTTATTTTTGCAAATGTGTGCGTGTCTTAGTAAGAGAGGGAGAGATCAGATATTCAGATATTTTCTTTTGGGGTTTCTGCAGGTGCTCTGGTTATCTCCTGTCTTCTCCAGGCATGTTGGCTGGGTTCTTTGCCATCTCTGAATTGCCCCTGTGTGTCCTGTGCTGGGCTCATGTCCCCTCCGATGTCAAAGCTTCCAGTCCCACCTGGTGCCCTATCCTTCTGGGACAAGCCCCTGATAATGGATGAATGGATCAGCTGTTGAAGAAAGCAAAGACTTCCGAGACTCATGAAAATGTAGAGAAATAAGTGTGGTGATGAACACAGTCCACCTTGATGGGTTTCTAGTAGCTTCATGATCCACAAATTCCTTCAAACACCTTTCTTTTTAAAGGGTCCCACAGGATGTGCTCCAACAGTGTTGCTACAGCCGTGGTTGCAGAGTGTGTATTGCAGTTTCCTGCCCTCGTGTCTCTGGGCTCTGTACCGTTAATGATCTTGAGGGCATCCCCTGAATTGACTCCACCACTGCCCCTGATTAACAGAGGATTTATGAATCTCTAGAGGGTAAAAGGCTACCTTAACAAGGCTTTACGTTTCCTGGTAATGAAGGGGGTTTGTGAAGTGAGGAGGACTGGAGGCCTGCCTGGTCTCTGGTCTCTGGCAGCGCCGGGCCTGCTGGTGTGGCGCTGCTGGTAACAGCGTCTTTCCCGCCGCCCGCCTGCAGGGATCCTGCCCCCCCACGGAGACTCGCACGCCCTGGTGATGAGTTACCGGAAGCAGCAGTACGAGGACGTGCTGCAGGCCCTGCAGGTCATGCGCTTTGTGCAGAGCTCCACGCCGCAGGTGGAGGTGTATCTCCACATGCACCAGCTGGAGTCCCTGGCACTGCCACGCCGCACAGAGGTCACGCCACTGGTAAGCCACCCAGGCGAGACGTTTCTGTACCGAAAACCAGTTTCTTGATTTCTTGTGCAAGAAACCTCTTCCCCTGTTTGTTGTGTGAAGAACTCTTAATACTGTGATCGTTTCTTTGGTCGATGCAGCTGTCTTAACTTTCAGGTTGAGCCACGGGCTTGGTGCTCGGTTTTGAATCGTTCATGTGTATGATAGGATGCGCCTCTCTGATGTGCCTGTGTTGGTTCACAGGAGCCAGAAGCGGAAGACTTCCTTGCAATAGCCAGAGCCATGGCGAAGATTGTGGAGAGCAGTGTTGATTGTTACTGGCTCATCAAATGCTTTGTTAATCAATACAGCAACAAGTATGGAGATTCCGTACCTCACCTGGTGAGTTCAAAAGTTCTGACCGGATTGACAGGAAGCATGCTACATTTCACTCTTGAGGAAGTCACCCACAGTAGATTAACACCGAAATCATAAGCGATAGGTTTTTGCTCTTGTTATTTTTCATTGTAACTTCATCTGCTTATTCTCTTTATGAAGGATGTCTTAGTTGAAAGGTTCCATCTAAACGAAATTGTGATTATTTTGAGATGTTGGTTGATGGGAGAGTGCTAGAGATAAACTGTGTGTGTGTACAGGGTTTTGTTTGGTCTCGCTTGTATGTTCAAGCCATTTGTGATTTGAATTCCCGATAACCTAGGTTTGTGGAGTTTGCTGTAGAAATATTTGCTGTAGGGAGAAAGTTTGCTTTTGAAAGGTTAGACATTACTGTAGTTAAGCAATCTCGCTGCATTATGAAAATGTACAGAGGCTAATGGTTGACATCATCTGCCGATAACGTGATCCCTTAACAAAGAGTTTAGTGTGTTTTGACCAATAAAATTTAAAACTGAAAGTTTTTTTAGACTTTCTACTGCATCACTTCTGTAAAAGCCTCAGAAGAACATTTTTCCTTAATCTCTTTTTATGTTACAATTTTGGATTAAAATAAGGCTATATTGGGTTAATTCAGCAGTTAAAGAACTGATGTAGACATATCTAAAATAACATTTACATCTCCTCCAGCCAAAGAGCCTTGAGCACTTCTTAAGCCTTGAGGACAGCAGACTCCTGAATCACCTCCGGACCTGTAATGCAATGAGCAAACTTCCCTATAATCTCTGGTTCAGAAGATGTTTTGCAGGATGCCTGCCTGAGTCCAGCTTGCAAAGGTAAAAATAAATCCCCAGATTCTCCAAACCTCTCAAACAAAACTTTCTGATGGACAGTGCAGATATTTTTGTCCTTTAATATTGATTGACATTTTTGGAGTGTAAAATTAATTCCTGTTGTTAACGTAAATTTAGAAATTTAAATTAAATTAAGAGTTCTTCAAAGCCCCCAATCAGTTCTAGATTTGAAGTCTGAACTGGAGTGAAGACACTTTCTGTAAATCAAAGATATACTCATAATTCAGTCCTCTGTCAAATGTGTTTGTACCAGGCGAGAAATATCAGCATTGCCTGATAAAAGAAATATCAAGCATTTTAAACTTCAAAACTCTTACCTCACTTTTGTTGCCAAGTTCAATTACAGTATATGGACCTCAGTGTTCCTTTGTTTGTAGCATTTAATAGGTTTCTCGTAATTGTATGCAACTGACCTGTTCTAATTTTAGTAATGTTTCCCTTAATTATTCTGCTTTCCCAGATAAAGGTGCCATCTGGGTTTTCTCACATCTCCTTTAGAATGATTTGCAGAAAGTTATGTTCTAATTTGTTATAGGACACAAACAAAAAAAAAGACAATTTTATTGCATACACGAGCAATAGTTTGTGCTGTTTAAATAAAACTATACATATCATTATAATATGATTTTTTAAATTCTCTTCTAGGGTGTGGGACAAAATAATAAGTGGTTCCTGCAAAATTCTTGTTTTTGTTGCTGTGGAGATATTACTGGGCTATAAAATCATGCTTATGGGAATGAATAAGCCTGAAGACATCACCCAGTTTTTGGAAAATGTAAGTCTTTTGCATAACATTCCCTGTAATAGTGCAATAATTTGTTTTTATAGGTACTGTAAATGTTTTAATTAATACTCTTAATTAATGGTAAATGTGGATGTTAATAACAAGGAAGTCCAAAATCCAATAACGCTTCTTTAAATTAAGTCTTTAAATCACTTAGTCTCCAAAATTAACTCAAAAATTGTAGCTAAGCTAATTAAGTTTAATTTACTTCCAGGGGGCTTATGAATCAAGCTTAATGGCTTGCACCCCTACCATCTTCTGCACAAATCAGCTCAATTTATTTCTGAGATAATCTCTTTATTAACTCTTCTGCTTCCTGGGATTTATGTTGACTCAATCATGGTGTCTTTAAAACGGTAGTCCACATCTGGGCAGTGTGCTGCACTGAGGTTCAAAATGACAAACTCAGTCGTCTTTACATTCTCTGCCAGAGCTCACTGAGCACATGCAGCTATTTACAATTTGTACACTGAGAACACATGCTGATGATTGAATAGTATCGTTCCCTGGGACGATAAGCACAGTAATTGAAGTTATATGATTCATAAGAATTCACCCTAGATAGTGAGTGATTGGTATTTGAGTTAGAGTCACCACATTGAGTTCATGAAAAATCTGTATGAACAGCCATACATACAAAAAAAGACATGATTTTAATGAATACAAGAACAGCAGTAGACATAACTATGCTTGGCTTGAATAATGCAGAACACCTTTGTGGTCACCTTTCCTAAGGAAAATCTTTTGGTTTGTGTTTTTGTTTAGATTTTCTGTGATTTTGCTTGAGGTCAGTATTTACATGTATTAAGTCCATCAGACCCAAGTCAGATCTTAAAATATTGTTCAGAATGAGTAACCTGGGTTTATGGCTTATCACTAATGATATTGCTCATCATTTGATCTGAAAGTGTTTTTGTACAATAAACCAAGTGGACAATATAGTCCGAGTGAATGAAGTAGTGAAAGCAAGGAACAATCTTTTGTCCTGTACGAAAAATCACATGAATTGTTCATAATAACGTGCCCTTTTGGGGTATTTTTCTGTTGGTGGGGGTGGGGTGACTAAGACCTCGGAAACAATGAACATATTTTTGCGATATTACATTTGTGTAGTCAGATGAGCTGTTCATGCTTGTCTGATTTGTCTGGTGGTTTCGCAGTGTATTCCTCATGGAAACCACAACTGAATCTCGCAGAAGAGGAGTCTTCTTATCCTGATTCCTCCAAAAAACCTCTGTAAATCCTGAACAAAGTAAAGCATGATGTCAATTAAGTCTAGGCACAGTGTGATTTTTTTTTCTGTTTTATAAATAAGAAATTTCTGGATATGTGGCTTCTCACAGTCTTATGTTCTCCTGCAGATGCCCCAAGAAAACACAGATGCCATCGTCACCAAGGCCATTGATCTGTGGCACAAACACTGTGGGACTCCTATGCACTCCGTGTAGCCCTCTGCACTGAAGGCAGGAGGATGTGGGACCACACTGCTGTGTGCACAGACATCAATCGCAGACGGAAGAAGGGTTTGGTCAAGCAGCGCCTGTGGACCTACAGCAGCTATTTACAGTTCAGAACCATACTGTCTAGATGCCTTATACCTGTAGGAATGAGCTTTTTCTTGCAGCAGGCCAGGAGCATGATGCTTGAAACGTACTGTATACCGTTTATCTTCGGGCTATGAGAGCAGGGGCTTGGTTTCAGCTGTAAATAAATATAATGTGTCATAAATTGTTTCCTCCCCCTTTTTTGTTCTTGCTTTTTTCCCCCTCCCCCCCCCCACTTACCTGCTTTCCCAGGGTTTTACATAAAGCGTCATGGAGGACAGTAACTTTGCAGCTACAGTGAAGGGGTCTCTCATGAAATGTTCCTGGAAGCTCAAACAGAGCTTGGATATAACCCTTTCTTAAGAGGAAGACCCTTTCCTCAATGTTACCTTCTCTCTGTGCGTGTTGGCAGTAAGAGTGTGTTATTGAGTCTGTCTCGGTAAAACCTAAGATATTCCTCCAGTCTCTTTTCGGGTTCTGGGTATTACTACTGTGTTAAAAGTCAGTCTCAGTCATATACTGCTTAATAATGTTTGTCGTTGGGAGTGGGTCACTTCTAGACCTCATCTTGTGAAGCTCAGTGATGCTTCAAATCGCTGTCTCTCTATAACCTGTGCTAGGTTCTCGGGTCATTCAAGCAGGTTTTCCTTTCCAATTTGCCTGTACTTTGCCAATTTTCCTCGGTCCTTACACAAGAAGGGGACCCATAATGCGGCTCACTCCCTGCCTGAAGGGTGCTCTGTTGTGTTTGCGCCAAGAATAACACTTTGCGTCCAGACCAGAAAGCTCAATGTTTGTGTATGTGTCATCAGACCAAAACATCATCTTCCACCTTGGCAGGGTTGTCAATTGTATGAACAATGACTCCAGTCTCGGACATACAGTCTGTACCAGCACCTGTACATATACTTACAAACGTTTCAAAGTCTCTCTTGGCTTCACTGTGGCAGCCCGAACCAGTTTCCTGCTGCTCAGTTTAGCCTCATCTAGAAGGTGTCTATGTGGTAAGATGCACATTTCACTTCTTAAAGTTTACAAAACTGAAAGGATCATTTCCCTGTGCTTAAAGGGATAAATGATCTATTTTTGATCTGTGCCTTGCTGCCAGTTCATCCTTTGTTTTGAAAGTACCTTGATCTCCATGGTTGATAAGTCAGCCATCTTGGTGACCCATAATGTTAGTGTCAGATAGGAAAGAATGTCAACGGTGGAAATGTAAAATTAAGACCAGAGAGCAATAGTTTTAAATAAGGTTTCTTTATAAGAAACTGCATACATCATTAAAGACAAACAATAAGTTAAACAATTACATGCAGTTTCAGTCTGTACAAAAAAAGTTATAACATATTTAGAGACCCAGTTAATTTGTTATTTACAGATTTCATACACCCATAGGTTTTCTTTTTTTGTCTTAAATTACAATACTGGAAGAATACAGGGAGACGGTCACAGCATTCACTCCTATACGAAGACAAACTGTACAAACAACATTTCAGAGATGGACTTTTCTCCTGTTGGACAAACACATGAGAACATAGACTGGGTTTTGTTTTTGTAAACCTTAATCTGTATAAAGCATTCATGTGTGTTACTTCTAGTTTGTTATATTACTACAGAGCCATTTATTATCGGAGTCTGAAAAGAATTTTGAATGGAGAAATAATGCCTTTTTTTTGGCGATTCCAGGGATTATAAAATAGCCATTTGTTTAAAGAATTGAAAACCATCTTGCAGTGCTCCAAGTTAAATTATGCATGGTAGTAAGAGTTCAAACTAGGGTCTTTGTGAATACCAAATTAAATGTTCTGGAAATTCCATGTCTTGGGTGATTCTTCACATTCTTCGGACGTGTGCAGTACCTGACATTCAGGCTTAGTCTTTTCTAACCCTGGTTAGTTCAATGTAACTAAATATCTTCTCACACTCTGACCTTGTTTTAACAAAAAAAAAACTAATTTTTAAATTAGGTGTTCAAAATGCGGTACACTATAATTGATTGCACAAATGTGATAATTTTGCAAAACTTGCATGTCTGCAACTTGAGTTGAGTGGGTAGTTGTACTGTTACACAAACTAAGTTAAATGGAATTATAGTTTCCCTTGCTTTCCCAGTATGCAAGACTCAATAAAAATGATTGCTACAGTAGAAGGGGATTATTAATACAGCAGAGAGCCTGGTGTACAGTGTACAGTTACAGACAGTAATGAAGTGCTCAATGCCTGTCTACCAGTGTAGATCTGCAAAGGTATAGGGAAGGTTCAACTTTGACTAACCCCTCACTTTATAGGTTACTCAAATTTACTTTATATAATAAAGGCTTTTCCTCTTCAGTGTGAGGACGCACTTGGAAAATTAAAGCTGGATCTGTCGCTTATCCTTAAAGCACTTCAGATTTTTAAATGTAATCTTTTAAAAACAGATTCTTCTGTAGAAAAGATGTACAGGGCCAGAATAATTTCTTGTTTGCATAAAGGGAGGATTTCGAGTTCTAATTTTAATTGGCTACTTCTCTTTAGGAGTCAGTTGTAAACGTTTCTATTTCCCTTTGGGCAAATTGTGTGCTGTTTTATCCATTTTTATTTTGTTTTCTTTATATGAAAATACAGTTTCCTGTTGGTTATTTTTAATCAATTGTCAATTATTCCAATATTGAGCCACTGTTCTGGCTTTCATTGAAATAACTAACAGAATGTTTAATACTAATCCTTTCTGTAACCGCACGTCATTAAAACTCCCTTTATGAAAACTCATTTCATTTCAGTCTCATTGATTCATACATGCTGGGAGAAAATCTTAAAATCAATTTGATCTTAATTCCTAGGTTTGATCCACAAGATCCTAAAATAAAGAACCTTAGATTCTTTAATCTACACCTTTAAAAAACAGCTGATCATCTACTGGGTAAACATATAAACTGTTAACATTTGACAACATGGCAGCCTTAACCTTTTTTAGAAGGGTGGTACATAAGGGTCACTATGAGCACAGAAAGGAAAATTTGGGTAACAGCGTGGATACCCGAGTTACACCAAGAACAAATTGAAAAGAAGTTTTAAAAAAAAGATGCCACAAGTGTGAACACATCATATGAAATATTATTAACGGAAAATTCCCATTCACACTGTTCAAGTCTTCAGTGAGTTTTTGGTGTAACTGGGACCATATGAACAAAGCATTAAGGCAGCCAGTAATTCCCTCTAGCCTTGAAAGTGAACATCCGCACATGGGAACAATATTCTCCCTTAATTTAGAAATCCACACTGAAGAACGTGATTAAACATATAAATTGCCATAGCAAAATGGCCTTTTCTATGATTTCTGTTTTTGTCCCGTAAAAAATCTCTCAACTTCACTGGCTGTTAGAGCCATGATAATACCTGAAATTAAAAGTGTAGGTTTTAGCACATCGCATTAAAGTGAGACAGTCACTGACTTCGTGTACGAGGAAATCGTACAAGTTATTGCTCAATTTGCGTTTCTCAGTCCTGCAACAACATGTCAACACTTCTGGTCTTTCTTTAGAAATGTCACACTTCTACAGACTCTGCTTCTCGATCAAGCAGCAAAAATCCTCCTCCCCTAAAACTAGTAACTGATTTCACAGATTATAAATGTTACGGCACAGTACAGCAAAAGTCCAAATGTTTAATGCTGAACACTTTGATTATTATTGTGTCTGCATTTCTCTTCTTAGAATTTTAAGAAAGTGGCTACAGCTACTGGTTTCTTTGAACAGAAAGGACAGTTATTATTGGTTAATCCCAAAATAGTAACATATTTTAAAAGTCCAGTCGAGTGAAACAATTTAAAACTATATAAACTGAATGATACCAGGAAATGGCAATGCATGTTTATGACTGTAAAAAAAAAAAAATCACTCAGCAAGATGAATGCCAGCTTGGTTTGTTATTAGGTTGTATACACTGCAGATTTATCTCACCGTATATCATTCATGAAAATTTGTACCATTGTGAAACGGAATAGGGACCAGCATGGTTTTGAAGCTGTTAACCCATATCACAGAAGGGAAACCCGCCACCATTTTTTATCGAATAAATCACTTGCCAATCATATTGTACAAACTTGTCTCGTAATGGAAACTTTTAGGATAATGCACTGTAAAACATTTTAAACATTTTAAGTCCATTAGTCTGCATCTCTCTGTCACAGGACGGAATTATGTTTAAACATTTATGGTGGGAAAGACAAAACATGTTTTAAAAAGCTGATGCTTTTTGCTAGAATGAGATGCCCAAAACATAACTAATGCTACATACAAGGAAGAGAGAGATTCTTGTGGAAGAGAAAATTGCAGTAAAATCTTTTGGTGCAATTACATTTTTTTTCCCCAACTATAGTGCCAGCTCTTGGACTTTCCCATTGTCGATAGGCTAAACATCTATTGCTAACACTGTAAACGTTTAATATTTGATTTTAAACTGTCCATGTTTTATGTATTGATGTTTGCATTTTTATGAAGTAGACTTGAAATATCCAGTGGCACATTTGTCATATTAGGTAAATAAAATGGCTTTTCTGCCATAATGAAGAGCCAAAGAAAGTGATGTATAATCCTGCTGGTAGTCTAACACATGGTACCTCTCTTTATAGTCTCTTTCTTTCCACCGATTTCTCAATGGTTATTAATAATTTATTTGGCTGATGCTTTTATCCAAAGTGACTTACGTTTGTATCTATTAATACAACCAGGAAGTTTACTGAAGCATTATAACTGAGGTGCCTTCATCAGGGGTGCGACCGCTGTGCCCCCCAAAATCTAAACCCACAGCCTTCCAGTTACAAGTCCAAAGCCCTAAACAGGTATGTGCCATAAAACATCGGGAAAAGGGACTAAACACATGTTTATAATTAGTCACACAACATGTCATGGAAGCTGAACGCTATAAAAAATTCAAATCAAAATGTATATTGTTTAGAAAACCTTACATAAAACTTTGGCTTGTGACCAGTATATTTTCATCAATATCCATGTCACCTTATCCTGTCCTTTCAATCTCTTATAGAATGACTGCGCCAAAGGAACATTTTAGATAGCTAAAATAACATCTCTGTACTGAAGTATAAACATGATATACATTAAAAAAGGCAAACAAATTGTCTGCACGCTTGTTTCACAGTTAGCAGTAAATATCATCAATAATATTATTACTGTTATAATAAGTAGTTCTACTAGTATTATTGAATTGTGTAATTCAAGCTGCTCACCATTCACCTGCAGTTTAAGAAAGAATCGTAAATGGTTGACATACAAGCAAGTGCATGAAAACCCTTCTAGCACAGTATGAGGAAGTTCGCAATATTGCACAGGAATCCAAAAGCCTTGAGCTGCTGCAGGTCTGTCACAAGCACAGTCTCAGGACTTTTAAACTGGAGACCTCACCTCTCCTCTCCGGGGCGAGAGCAGTCTGTGACTTGGCAAAGCTGGCTTAAGCACATGACGCACGAAGGTCTACAGATGTCTTTAGCGGAGGAGATGGAGCCTGGACCTTACTGTTCATCCAGGACCAGGAAGGAAAGCTCTCCCTGCTGCGGTTGACACTGTGCGGATGAGTCCTGCCGGACAACGGGCGAACACAGGCGCACGTGGGAGTGGCTTGAAATGGTAAGTCTGTGATCCAAAAAACGTCTACAAAGCCATTCAGTGATGGATGTGGCTCGTTATCTGTTGCAACCCCCTGCCAGGGAGCTCTGGGGGTTAGCAAGTCTGTTATTGTGGCAGTAACCATCTTTAAGTTTAGTTCTGAATGTTACTGGTACTATTCAGGGGTAGAAAGGCAATTCAGAAGACAGCTTCACTGTTGACATGGGCACCTGTTATGATCCAGCACTTAAGGTTCATAGTGGGAAAAAGCCCACACGGTAATCTTCGAACAGTAGAGTTCTACGGTCTGTGAAACCTATAATAAAAATAAAGATGCATAGTGTTAAGAGGGATAAAATGGTCTGCTTCATTCCCGTTGGTTCTGCTGACAAACTCCTGCAGAAATAACAACCCATTCACATTAAACTTGTGTTCACTCTGGGAAGTCTTAGTTAGGATATCATATTCACTATGAAAGAACATGGCAATGTCTAGTAATATACTGTAATTATATTCTGGGACAAAATATGTGCTGCATTAAAACCACTGACAGTGTTTCCGATCAGTGCATGCAAATACGCCTCAGCTGACCAGCTAGTCATGTCATCCCAAGATGGAAATGGGGCGCAGAGATATTCTCCAGCTTGCTGTAAGAAACGTATCCCCCTTTACCTGGTTAGATGGCGACTCGACTCGTGCACTTCCATTTCAGTGCTCTTGAATTCGTTTAGTTCCTTCCGAATGGCTGCCTGAAAGCAAAATGGATCATACAGTCAACACAGGAGAGGCACACAGATCAGGCTAAGAAAAGCCGTGCTTAGAAAAAAATCGTCTTAGACTCCTAGTTTCTGGATGGCAAATAGTGCTGTTATGCTGTCGGGTCACAATGCGAGACTGGCTTAATTTAACCAGTTAATTTAATTTAATAAATCAATAAATAAAATGTGTAATTTGTCTTGTGTTTCTATGGGTCTTTTCTGGTCTTGCCTTCTACAGTACAGTTAATCTAATCATTTCACTGAAGCTTCATTTAAAAGTCAACTAAACATAATGTACCTGTAATTTATATTAATGCAACTTGAATATTTTAATACTGTTTTAACATGCTTAACATTTCAACTCTAATTGAGTACGTTTTAGAAAACAATAACACAGAGGCAGCTTAAACACATTTAATAACTGCAATAATAATTTAATATTACAACAGAAATCAATACTGATCCATTACCATCATTTGTTTGGACGCATATTTATTCCATAAACTTAAAATACTAAAAATCTCGCTCTGTATGTAGTAGGATTACCTGAATCTTAAAAAAAATACCTGAAAGCTGTTAAAGGGTGTAATCCACCTGTTTGTGGCATCTCGTAGAATATAGATTTAACATGAACAGATATTCTAGAAATGACACAAGTGGAGCTGTGAAAGAATATCACTGTGCTGCAGGAAGTACTCTTGGTATGGACAACTCAGATGGCTGTAACTCTGAAAAGCACTGTGCATTTCCTTTTCTGCAGCGTGATGTAATGTGACAGCTTGACCCAGTCCCACATACTGGATGACACAAATTAATTTGGCCCCACTGCCTAAGGCCTTGGAGTCTTGCGGTTTCATCTCTCATTTTATGCAACACAAAATCCGGCACCAAGGCCCTTTCCATTAATTTTATATTCCCGAGCACTATGTCTGTTGCTCCAATATTCATGGAAGGTAGGACTCCTGCAAGCCCCCATCACATGACTTTCAGATGCATTATTTAACTCACTCGTTGTCTCGGTCATTCCGGAAACCAGACAAAGCCATGTCAATATCTATATGCTTGTACTTATAATGTGGTTATTGTAAATAGGTATCATTCATTTAAGCTATTGCTTTTTAAGTGGTGGACAGTAGGGTATTTAAACAGGCCCTCATGTTGTAGCAGACTAGTCTTGCCCTGGCCTTTGGGTGTATCCTTGTCTGTGTGCTGTTACAGAGCTCTGGCGAGTGTAGGCCCACTCTTCAAGTATTTGAGACTGCTGGCGGGGAATTCTTGGGAGAAAACAAGTTTATTATTTCGCAGATTGTATTTTTTTTGTAAATATTTTTCCTGCACCAGAGCACTAGCCAAGGGTCACTTTTTGCGCTGTGCTTCTGTCCGCAAAATGTTTGTGTGACTTCTGTGACCGCTCCTGGACTTAATGCCAGGTGGTTTATTCACAATTCCGCTGTAAGTGATTAAGTTTCATAAAATGGTTCTTTGTACGTTAGTACAATGGGCCTCATTAAATATTTCTGTGAAACATCCAGAGGCTTAAAAACAAAGAACCCATTTGTAACTGTCCCCATAGTTCTGTATCCTATGAGATACAGAAAATTGAAACATTTAAAATACCGGTTAAAACTTAAGTTTACAGGACTTTAATCACTTCTTTCTTGAGGAGAGATAAGGCAATAGTTCAATGCAGTATTTTGATCTGTGTATGTAAAGGGTTTATTCTAAATCTGGTTACATTTTGTGGCATTTGAAAACAAGACAGATATGTTTTGTGAGAAGTATTTACATAAAATGAATGTGACATTTATGCTGAGTAAGGCATATAAACTGCTTGCAAACATTTCCATATACACCAGAGACAATTGTATGTCTCTGCTCTCCGTCACTGAACTGCGCTGACGTCTTGCAACCCTACACCAAAATCTGTCCAAAAAAGCAAACAAGTAAATGTAACATCTGTAACCAAATGTATGTCTGTAAATGTTTACAAAGTTATGATGCATATTTTCCTAATATTTTCAAGGCAGAGAGCAGAAATGTAGAATGTAAAAGTCACATTTCTGTTCAATTTATGACTCAGACAAAACAAATTCTGGTCGAATCTTGCCTAAAGTTCACTATCTGACTGAGGTACCTTACAGAGACAGATGTGCCCATGTGAGCCCCTATTATTACTTACAGACAGGGGCCACTGAGATAACTCATTTACAACTGCCACAGGAAAGTGAAAGCAAGCATGACCTTTTCTTTCACATTAATGATCTATTTATGCATCTCTTATTGGTTTTTGAATGTAACGTACAGTAGGTTGTATACATAATGCTACTTAAAGTGTCTGCACTGCAAGCTTTAAAGCAATATAATCTGAAAGCTCTGTGAGGATCTACACACTTTTGCAAGGCACTGTGTGCATCGGCCCCGGTGGCCTTACTTACTTTGTCAGCTGCTGTGAGTCGAGTCCAGGGCTTGTCTGCTCTCCGATCGTAGTCCTGGGCATCAGCCACTTCCACGTAATCACTGAAGCGTATCAAGATCTTCTTTTCCCGGAGCTCCTCTACTGTAGGCCTCTGGCTGAGCTGAAAGAAAAAGGGTATACTACAAATGAGTCAATTATAATTTTTGCACATCTTAATTCATCCATCACTCCAAGATGCTACAGTGTCTATACAATTATTTCAACCTAAATAAAAGCTGAAATGAACAAGAAACACTAGTGCAATAATATAAACAAAAGCATAACCCGCTTGTTTCTCAAGACCTGGTGTCAGTGTGAGTAAAACAGTTTAGCAATACTAGTGTTAGCAACACTAGAAACCCATGAAGTTCATTTCTTCTTGAAATCGGATCTCTGTAAACCTGACAATGAAAACTCAAGCTCTCAAGAGTGAACAATAATAAACTGTCAGATGAACACAATGTCGCATTTTGCCTTCAGTATCTGTATTTATTTGAATTGATCAATGCAGAGCTGTATCATTTTAGGCATTTGGGATTTTGGATGTCAAAGCTTTGATTGTTAAGATCCTTAACATTGCTGGAATAATTTGCTGTAGTGGGTTAATGCACCTGCATTTGACACAGGGTTAAAAACAGGACCGAGATGACAGATACGAAAGAGGTCTAGTGCTTTCTATTGAGTCTCTATTGAGATTAATTTAAATTATTCCAAATCGGTCATCTAGCCATTACCAGAAAGCCACTTATTTTTGTGTGATCACAGCCACTGAACATCTGGGAAGGCGGGACTGCATAGTGGAGGACACCCTGAATCTAACCCAGGACCCAAGAGCTATGAACCAGCAGAGCTAAGCAATGTGCCACCACAACTACAGCATATACTGTACAAGGAAAAAACTAAAATATTTTTGAAGGCGCACAGAAAACTATTGCTACTTCTAAAGCACAATGCTCAGAACAATGTGTACAGATTGTATCAGGGGATAGGAGCTTAAACGATAAAATAAGCTCTTCACATCAAGAAATGCCGGCTAATGTGACACCAATTGAATTGACCCAGCTAAACATTTTTCTTATTCTACGAAAAAAGGATTTAACAAAATTTCCAAAACGAATTTTCAGTTCACATGAAAAGCAGGTTCAGCCTTACTTGTTTTCTTTGTGGACCTTTTTTTGCTATGTCACTGTGGCTCTTTCTCAAGGAGGAGAAAGATGTTCAATGTTACTAGATGTGAAAGCCATTTCAAGAAATCAGTCAACTTAGATTATACTGACAGCTGCCACAGACCTTTAGATAAATACAATCCTCTTGGCAATTACTTAGATTATTATGTCTTGCTTCCTGCAGGAGTCACAGGGTTGCAACCACAAAATTGTATTTTCTAAATATGACTTCATAACTGTAATCTGATAATAACCTGCTCTCTAGGGCTCTGGGTTTGCCGGGACATAATTCACGTTTTCTTGGTGAAAGTGCTTATTACAATCCAGATAGACACATGTGGATCCTGAACCTGGCAACCCCTTGGTCTGACAGATGAAGGTCTGACTCCATTGCTCTGTGCACAGCCCTATTCAAGGAGCTGAATGACAGAATAAAGGAGAAACAGAACCTGACAAAGTACAAGCCTGGTCTTAGACACGGGGTGGCACAGACAGTGCCGCCCAGAGAGGATAGGCTCAGTGAGCCCTTAAACACTGGGTTGCGATCACACTGCCAACAGGGAGAAGCAGAGAGAGAGAGCTGTACTGTCTTATTGCAAGAAATACTCTGGAATTAGACAAACATCTGTTCCTAAATAACAAATCTAATCAACTACTTCCCACACCTCTCAGAATCTCCTGACACAGCCTGAGCAGCAGAGTGTGAGCCTCTGTAATAATAATAATAACAACGGAAAAGCACTGAGCATCCTAGAGGAGTTATTTTGCCCACTGCTTACAGTTTTGCAACAACACTGTCCTTCAAGACCAAGTGCAGACCAAGTGAAAAGAAAGGACACAGGAGTTTGTGAGATATGCAGTATGAAATTGACTTAGTTCCATATAAGAGCTCTTGCTGGGACATGCAGTAGCCACTTCTCTCTTCTTTACAGCATGTCGATTAGTGAGCAGTTTTGAACTTCTCTGAAGGTCTGTGCTTGACATTCACTTACAGAGAACAAGGAACTCAAAGACCATCAGCTGCTTCTGTATGCCAGTGGGAAACTGCTGAATGGGATCATAAGCTGCTGTTGTGATTCATTTAGACTCCACTTGGAAATAATTCACCGCAGATGTTTCAAGAAACACGCATCTGTGCATTTATGCTAACTTTGCGATTGCAATAAAACGTCAAATGCGAAGAAGGAAACTGCCTGAATGAGGCGCTTTCAGCTGCCCTTGCAATCTGAAAGTCCTGTTACACAAGGCAGGGCTCATTATTTCTTGAGAAAGCTCTGAATCTGTCATACAGGGAAGAATAGGGTTCAGCTCTTTTCTCTAGCTTTGTTTTACACCATAATTGAAGACTTGCTTATGTTAGTGTTAGAAGCTATGCATTTCTAATTTTACCACAGTAAAATCACAGTCTTTCTGCCAAATAACCAGGCCAGATAATTGTGGCCACGGCCAGCATCATGACTGTGTGATTAGCACTTTTTGCTAAATAAATAGCAGTATGTACAGTAAAACAGACAATATAAAAGTACAATAGTTCAATAAACTCTTCAATAGTGGGGGATTTTTATTATTTACTATGTCCAGTAGTTTATTTCCAGAGAGTGATGGATCTGTCATTCACTATGAACCGGTGTTTGTCTACCTAATGAGTTTGGTGGGCTGTTATAATTCCTTATCAACAGTACTAACCACTACTGGACATTTTACTAATTGTGAAAAGTAGCTATTTTTCTATGTGACCAGACTTTTTTAGTAGAGTAAATCAGTAGCTGTACAGTTTTTTAATAACAGCCTGCCACAGATTAGTCTGATAATTACATTAATTGTAAATGTTTGATTATCCTGTATATTCCATACATATTACAGTTGTACAAGGTCTATTATAATGCCAATGCCTATTATGACTCTAATAAGAACTCTTCCTTAAAAAACTCAATCATGATCTCTTGCACGGACACCGATATCTTACCTTCCGTGTTAGTCGCCGTTTAATTTCTCGCTTTTCCTCCTGCTCCTCTTGTTCGTTCCTTGCTGTGAGGGATAACAGAAAACAAAGGTTAAAAAAAAACCCGGAATCTCATGGGTATATTCTGCATCGACGGGCCAGTCAACCTCATGCCATTCATAACGGGCTCAATTTGTCTGTTGTGAGCGTCATTAAAATGTGATAGTGAGCTATCTGACCTTTTGACCTCAGCATGAAGGTATCCCTGTTTTCCAAGTCAATTCCTACTTCTCTGACCAGTGCGTCAGGCCCCAGGTGATGGATTGTGAGCTGCCAGGTCAAGAGACCACTGAGACGAAGGTGCCCTTAAATGCACACCAAAAGTGACCCCAGGTGTATACAAATCCCTTCGTTTTTGCGGTTATTTGGATCCTGCTTTTCACTAATCACACGATGCTTACCTGGCACCCAGCTGATAATAAGGTAATTGAGTAGTAAGGAGTTTTCATCCGTAGTACAGGCACTCCTGATTTACATTATGTTCACCTTACGGAAGCTGAAATCTCTGTGCGTTGGATGCTCTCTTATATGGTACATTCACACTAACATTGTATCGTTGTCATTATTATTACAGTAGTGTAACAATACATTATGAACATAACTTTAGATTTTCTAGGCGCGGTCAGATTTACGTAGGTCGGGGAGCACCGGTGTGAGTCGTCTGTGCGTGCGCTTGCGCTGTACATTACAGGTGGGTTTAAGTCCACTTCCTGCCTGAATCTTTCTCCTGAAAAAAATGTCTTGCCTGGGGAAATTTGATATGCCAATTCTAGACTGAAAAATAGTCAGTGTGAAAGTCTGAAAGGAAAGAGCAGAGGTTAATTCCGCACTGAAAGAAGCTGTGGAAATATCGGCAGGTGGAATCGTCTTCTTCCACAGCCACAGTCTTTGCGGAATGGAATTGGCCTCCACCAGTTCCATGTCAAGAGTATTCTGACCGCATAACCTTGCAGATTAAAACTGGGTATCGACTCAGCTTTAGCGTGCGATCTGAGTGGAATTTCTTGACAAAATGTAGCAGTTACTGTAGGTGTAAACATCAATCGGGTAAACCCGATTCATCCCAGAGGGTTAATTTATGTTGCAGATATTTAAATGGTTTACAGCATTTTATACCATGAAAAGGATCCGTGAACTTGGATAAGCAAAAATAATCGACACAAAGGAAGAGATAACTAGAACTTGCTATTGAGGACACTGGCACTAAACAGTCTCTCACCCTAGCCCCCGGGCAGACTCTGGACAGGATTCAATTTAATTATCAGAGGACAATGCCGGCAGTTCGAAGGAAAGGAATACTGGCTCAACACGCAGCATGGTCTCAATTAAACGGCTCCCTACCACGTCCATGAAGGAGCTGCGAGTCAGTGTTTAACATCAGGCATTACCTGCGGACTTCTGCCATTGGGTCGATGGCCTAGTACCCCAGTTACACAGAAGGGGCCTGTCCTGAAACACCTCAGAACTCAAAAATACATTTCTATCTCCCTATATCCCTACAGAACAGATTATGCTTTAACACTGGTGATAATTCATAGTGCTACAATTTTAGAATGGTCCGCATTTTGTGCTTATTTAGAGCATCGTATGCAGGAGGGATTACTTTTTTATCCATCATGTCTTGTAACACAACACACCTTTTGAAAGGCACACACTCCTTACAGAACACCGGAACCCTCAGTCTTAAGGTGCGCCACAATACACTGGAAGTCCTTTAAGTGCTAATGTCCAGAGAAAGGCTGTCTGCCCTGCTTTCATCTGAGACCGTTCACATGTGGTTCTTCTTATTGGTCACTCCTGAATACATTCCACATACTCCACTCTGCATAACCTCTTGACAGGCCCTCTTCTTCTCAACCACCTATCAGTTCTTTAAGGCCACACTCTCGTGCAAAATGTCGATATGAGCCCTTAAAAGTTGGGCTTTATTGATCACCAATCACCTTGCACAGGTTTTAACCATGCACTTAAAGTATTCAGCATCGACTTGAGGCACAGAGGAGATGATTAACCATTTTTCCTTTTAGGAAGCTCTGGCTTGTCTGGTTTTCATTTGTTAAGACGACGCTGTGGCATACAACGAATCGAGTCAACGAAAATGAGCAGAGCCAGTAAAATGATATGATTAAACTGAACTCAAGAGGAAACGCCATACTCTTAACGGCTTTTAATTGTCAGATTCTATCCACACGCTGAGTAAACAGATTGTGGCATCTGAATTAGTCTGATTTGGGTAAAAGAGATGATAATCTATTTCCGATCTAGACTGTCATTGTTTGTTATAAAAGCACTAGAAACACTGTTCTATGACTCATCAGTGGTACAAAGGGATTTTGTAATGACTGAGCAACCTGGCAGCATCAGTAGATTAAAACACCTTAAATACCACAAACCTCTGCATGTACAGTAATAGTTATCTAAATGCTGTTTATGAATTTACAGTGCTATGTGCAACTATTTTGGATTTTTAATGTATTAGGTTGAGTGGAAAAGTATCAGACTATTTGCCACATTTCTTTCACTTGTGCAATGTTTGAATTCCTCACTCCCGAGAATCAACCAATTAGTCATCGTGTTCATAAAAACACCTGAATGCAAAACTACAGTGAATCAAAGTTTCCATATGGGATTGAAACAACCTCTGATTCGGGATGACTACTACCGTAAACATCTTCCTTCACATCTTCCTACCGGTACAGTAGTTTTCTTTGATGGCTTCTTAGAAAAAGCAACGGAAGATACAAATTGTTTTATTTTATCTTAAAATAATAAATGATTTACTGCGGTCAGTTTTGAACAGGTAATTGCAGTTAAACATTACTGAATATAAAAAATAAAAAAATAAAAGTCTGAAAACAATGTAAAAGAAAATCTCTTTGTACCACAAATACACCCAAATAGAAATTTGGTTAAATAAATGTTTTCTTACTCAGGATACACTGAATTGGACACAGCAATTTAATAAACTTTAAAGGAAGTAATCTGGATCAAGGCAGAGAAATCTCAAAACACGTAAATTCCAAGTTTTGATTTAATATATAATGAACATACTTCATGAGACACTAGTTTTCTCTGTGTGAACCCAAGTCATAAAGCGGTTTAAAGAACACTAATACCCAGCTCATGCAATTTAATGTGATTGGTATTGTTTCTACGTCCTTAATCATTCTGAAATTGCTTCATGAAAATAGATGTTGGAGCCATCATCCCACACTGCTTATAAGTATGGTGGCCTAATGTGGAAAAGAAAAAAAACTGGAGTCCCTCCTAGAGTTCAGTCCAACGGTGGAAGACAGCCAGTGACTGCTAATTATGTGCTTTAGGAATGCTGAAGGCAGACGTGCTTATATTCATCATTGCCACATGTAAGGAAGCATCTGGTGTCAATGACCATCTTGACATAGATAGTATACAGAATTTTTCTATTCATAAGAATATGAATGCCAAGGCCTATATGAAGAGTAAGTTACACTTCACAGGCAGCTACTATAAACGGCATCTTCTCCTTCACAATGAGATACATTACTCTAATACGATCAATCATTTCACAAGTAAGGATGCCCTTGTCTTTGCACATATTTTTTTCGTACAAATCCTAAGAGCCACTGACACAAACTTGATTTCTATGTTCTCGGGCGAGATGTTTTTATGACACATTTAGCTGGACACGGACAGTAAGGAAAAAGGGTGAACTGTCGATGATGTTAGGAAAGCAAAGCGCAACTCGGTGAGACTTACGTTTAAGAATATTCCGCTGCTCTAGTTCCTCTGCCGTAGGACGTTGACTTAATCGCCTGTGAAACAGAACATGGATTAGTTTCTGGACCATCTCTCAGCCTGAAGAGCTCATTCCAGTCCTACAGCCAAAGAGTCTGAAGGGTCGCTGTCGTACTGCAGCCACGCATGACTGCTGCCTTCCTGTTTACTGCCGACGCCAAACGGAGAGCTGCTGGCCCCCTTCTTGGAAAAAAACAAAAACAAAACGAAACCCGCCTGAGAGCGTTGCGCAACTGCATCAGCAAAGGGGACAAAAGCGACACATGTGAGCAGACGTTCCATACGGTCTCAGCCTCCTCGTCACTTCCTTCCTCCCACACCTCCGTTCCAGTCTTCGCTGACAGCCATGTGATGTGCACGCGCACACACACACACACCGAGAGAGCGAGCCAGTGAGAAAGACACAGAGGGACACTGTGGAGCCCACATCAGGCAGCTCGCACACTCTTTATTTACACTGCTGCCGTCGCTACAACCCCGCGGGAAGTGTTACTACCATCTTTCCACTTTCTTCCTCCTGCCCACCACCAAGAGAAGTACAAGAAATATCCCTTGATAGAGAACTTGGGGAAAAAAATAAAGTTTCTCAAAGGACAGGTGAAAATGCCCCCTTTTCAGACATGAAGCATCTGCAGTGAAGATACAAGAGAGATATTTTTCTCTAGTGCTTTACGTAAATAGCAAAGCAGGTCTTGATAATAGCAGATGTTCCTTTCAACCACCTTAATGTGAATGAACTTGGGGATTCATCACATTTTGGCAAACACACTCCAAACTAATGTAACCACGTTGTACTGACAGTATTGTTTTTTGGCTGCTTTTCCTTCTACAATTACATAATGTCATTTTTTTCTAGAAATTGTTTTAATAGTATTGTGGAATCAATACTATTACACAATATTTTAATAGGTTTCCTAATATTTTTATTCTTCTTTCCTGATGGCTAAATTAATACACCTTTTTATTCCAACAATATACATTACCGAGTAACAAGCTCATTATTTTCAAACCATGACTTCTGCTTTACTTATACAGATATGTTTTATTAATATTTATATAGTGTTTTGTTTATTTACATTAAGTGATCAGTGAGTACAAGCAAAGCACATAAGGTCTGTTCGATATATGTGGCCTTTCAGTCCATCTTGCTTATCTAGTCACTAGAATCTGATTGAAAATATTACTGCATTAATTATATTTATAATTAAAATAGACATGGTTCCTATCTACCATTAGCTTTCAATGCAAAAAAAAGCTTATTTTTTCCTAAACTGGGTGTCTAATCATTCGTGTACTGAATATTTTCAATTCTTTCAAGTACAGTAGATCACTTATGAAAACAGGAGCTCAGATAAACCATGAGCAAAATCCTTATTGATGATCTTTTGTTAACAAAGGGTGTTTGTGCCAATCAAATCAAGGTTTCAAACACAAGAAGAGTTAAGAGAATTAAGTGAATACCATACACACAGATTTATTTTGTAATTGTACATTAGACATTATAGTAAAGGGATTTATCATGTGATGTAGAATTTTATGTTCAGTTCTACTCTTTGATAATAGGAGCTGTTTGCCACAGTGATTCTATGTCCTGGATTTCTGTTACCAGAGTACTCTTGCATATGCCCAACAGAAAGCATTGAGTATCGAGTTGGGAGTTTGTGAGCGTAGGATGTTTATTGAAACGCATTCTAGGAAAACAAAGTGGAGATCTGGCAATGGCATATTTGTCTGATACTTTTACTCGAAGCAACTTACATTTGAAGCCATTTCTACAGCTGGGTATTTTATTTGAACCGATTGAGATAAGCTACCTTGCTCAAGGACACAACAGCAATGTCTCATGCAGGATTTGACCCCACAGCCTTAACATGACCCCCTGAACCAGAAAGCCCAGCACTCTAAGCACTGTTCAATAATGCCATACCGGTTCTAGCAGACTGGGTCCTAATTATCCATCCTAGCTTACAGTAAATGTGACGGCTAGTGCCAGGATCTCCTTAATGCCACAGAGCTTTTTTTCCATTCAGCCCAAGATTGCAGCACGCAAAACCAAGTGTTCATAAAAATGACAACAAAGGCACTAGATTCCCAACTCGAACTACCCTCGGAAGCAGAGCCTGTGAATCTTCAGCTAGCAGAAGCTCTTGAGGAACGCGCTGTGCTTCAGGCAGCCTCTCTAAATAAAATCTCCCCTTCTGCATCTTGACAACGGCGCAGCGAGAAGAGGAAGGTAATGCCATTTCTTTTAATCCCAACATGCTGCTGTCCATATGGCTGCTGTCTGCATCTCAGCTGGGACTAAACTAGCATCGCCACTTGAGAGAAAATGCACTGCCCTGGCTGTTCTGAGCTGAGAAGCTGCCATGACGCTCTTGGTCTTAGGTATGTCAGCTCCTTGGTATAGCGAAGGAGCTGGGGAAAAGCCTACCTTTAACTTGGCATGCGTGAAACTACCATACCTTCCAGGAGTATTTAAAACCAGAAGCATATCATTATATATTATTGTTGTTACTATGGGACTTTGTTTTTCCATAATGTGACCGTATGCAAACTGGAGTTAAAGAGAGACTGTGTAATCCAGCAAATCGATACTTCCTCTCGCAACAGGATTAAAAACAGCATGTGCCAACCTTGTGAGGTATGGCAAGGCAGATAAGTACAAGTTTATTAGGCTATGTCCAAGTCATGTCTATTTAAGATGATATTCTCACCCTTTAAAAAGCGGTTCTTTTAAAAAAAAAAGAGAATTTAGCTTTTTAGCAGATGATACATTATTCAAATACGCAACTGTGATGGAAAACAGTAATAGCTGTAGATAAAGATAACAGGGCATCATGGGGAAATACTGTGGGTTTGCCTGAATGGCATAAAAAGTGTTTAGGTACTTTCGTACTCTACGACTTTAGAGTGAATCATAATGAGCATTTTGTTTATTTATTGTTTGCTACAAACCTAAATGGAAAACCATGCTAAAGAGGAAGTGAGAATGGAGTTTAACTTCTGTATTTTAGTATCTATAATACCGTGATGTGGTCTTTGAGGGAAAGAAAGGCCGTGGACAGCTGTAGCATAATGTTTTGTTCTGCCTTTCAATTTGTGTGTGCATTCACCGAATTTTAAGTTTAGAGCTAACTTTCTTAGAGCTTGAATAAACCTGTTATTCCAAGACTGGAGATCACGAGAACCTGATCTGCACACCTTTAGAGAAAATAACCCCAAAGGATTAAAAATAAAACACTACAATTCCTGATTACACACTACCCACATGACAAAACTAGACTTTTCAGAGATGGCATATCAACCCTGCCCTCATTTTGCCAAAAATATCTGCTGGCAAAGTTTTAATAGTGGAAACACCCACATCCCCTGTACAGTTAGATCAGGAAAACGATGAAACTGTTTTATTTTAATATTGTATTTGTAGTACAAAAAGTAGCCTTTTAAGAGGTGTAGGAAAAACAAATAATGCTCATTATAAGGGACATTATAATGGAGGATCTATGCCAATTATGGACTAACTACTATAACACTTAATTCTGGCTGTACATGTGGAGTTTACTTTTAAAATTAATATCATAATCATTTTTGAAGAATGTAAATGGAAAAAATTGCTAAAGGAAAAGCTTGGTTTCTTTTAAACCAAACTAAGTGATATTTATAAGTCAATGTTGTTATAGTAGTAATAGTAGTCTGTAGTAGGCAATAGTATGAGGTTTTGAGTAAACTGTTGATTGTCATAATGCACATTAACTGTAACTCCTGACTAAGGACATAATGTACCTTTACTCTACTGTGTGTAATCCCCAAATAATTTTATGTGATTCAATGTTTTCTTCTCAAAAACTTGCATTCTGAAGGGTAATTTTAAACAATTTATTTGGTTTAAAACCAAATTAAGCACTTTGGTCTTTTCAGGAGGCACAAATCATTTAAAATTGCCCTCTTGAATGCAACTGTTTGAACAACAATCAAATCATACTAAATCTTTGGAGGACAAGTAAAAGTACTTAATGCTATGCTGATGGACTATATATGAGCACTTTATGGGGGCACCTTTCAAATTTTGCAAGCCCTGTTGCACAGCTGAGAAAATGGAAATGTTTACAATATAGAATAATTAACATTTTCCACCATGTATAATCAATGTTGACTAACGACTAGAGACGAATGTAATTGTACAACCCATAATGGTTTGAGTGGATTAACATCTGCAAACTATTTTAATATGAGCTCTGGTGGAAGGGTTGCTAGCTCATTGTCACTGTATGTGTGTTCACCACATTAAATTACAACAATTTACCACTCTTCTTTTTTATGATGACCTTCTGAACAATGCAACAATTTACGAAATGATCAAAAACCTCTTCATTCACATTCTGGTAATTTAGTACACAAGAGAGACAGGGAACAGAGGAGTAAAGAGACAGGCAGAGAAAACAGAAAATGCCATTTCCCTTTCAGATAACATTCATTATGTTCTTCCCCACTGAAGTCTGCTAGCTGGATGTATATTTCTGGGATATGTTTATGATGTGTCTCTTGAATTATGTCGGATCCATTTTGGATAATGTTCTTAACTAGATGATGAAAGAATTATTCTTGCATGACAAATGAAAATGATTTGTGGGAGGTGGAGAAAAAACCCCATAAATGTTCCTTTATTCTGAAATGGCATCATTTTTATGTCTGAAAACGTAAAGCAACTTGAATCTGTTCTGCTGGAATATTCCTCTACTGGCAAAAGTGATTAATTCCTTAAATTCTGCTGAGCTCTGTGCTTTATTAGTGGACGAATCTGGTCCTCTCCTGTATATAAAATGGTTTGGGATCCTTTGTAATTAACATCACTATATAAATTCAATGAATTACTATTATATATCTATCTATTTATTATTATTATTATTATTATTATTATAATTATTATTTTTTAAAAGAGACACATTCTTTAGCCCCTCTCCCTAAAAAACACTTTAGTAGCATTAATGAATCAAAGAAGCACCATTGTTATAAAATGTCAAAAGCATTGCAACAGCATGCCTCCATCTCAAAAGCAAGAAAAACTACAAACTGGCTCCACGGTTCCAACTTCCAAGCTGGCTAGCTGGGCCCAACGACCTCCTCTCATTTGTAACTTACGTTTTTATGTTACAGACAAAAAATGTAACGTAGAAGTGGAGGCAGCACTTATAATAGTAACTAGAAGAACATGATTTCTAAAATGAAATTCATCGTTCTTTTTAACATTTAGAAGAGGCAACATTTCCATATGTTTTCTCTGTGATAAATAATGCTTCTGTCAATCTAAAAAGAAGAAAAATATCTGCCACCGGCTGTCCTCAGTACTCATCATTGACAAGTTCCTGAAAGCATTGAGGAATAGCGAAACGATGAATAGAAGGGAATTTGTGAACAAACTTTGCAATGCTTGCAGTTTGTTTATTTTTCTTTTCTCGCTTTAACGTGTAATCACACCCATGAAGTTTCATCCGTTTGTTGTCTTTTCACATAATACTCTTTTCACTTAATACAGTTTATGACGGAAACTTTGGAGAAAGGTTAGATTCAAATCTCACTTACTTATGCTGTCACGCATACTGTATATAAATCTCTTTCCTTTTGTACTTCCCTTTGCACATTTCTCCCACACCAATCCCGCTACCTCATCTTCACCTGCGCAGCAGCTCCCCAGCTCATTCCTAATGAAAGTGAGGAGGGGTTCGGTCAGCCTTGTCCTTACAGTCGGGCTGCCCTACTCTCAGACAGGTGAGTTATACCGAATAACATCTAATCCATCTGCCCCTCTACTGCATTTGTTATTTGTTTCAGTGTTCAAAAAAAAAAAACTGAAAAGCAAGATTGGCACACAAAGGTTCTCAGGTGACAAGCACGTGAACATTGCCATGCATATCCAATGAAATTGAGGATATAGCATAATGATACACTTCCTTTCAATGACCACTTTACACGTAGTGACGAACAATGCAAACCTTCCCAAAAAATACTGTTAGATTTGCCTAGGAATAAGAAGTGATATAATGAGCATCATGAGTAAACTTTTTTTTCTACCTTACTGTGCCATAGTAAATCATCCTTGTAGCAAATGGCAACAAATAATTTAAAAATTATTACACAAATCTGTTGTCAACAAATAAATTAAACACATATGACGAATAACAAAAAAATGGTTCCCTAATAAACTGACAACGAATAACCGAAACGGTGAACACCAGGAGGTTTCCGAGTAGCGGAGATCCCTTTAATATCACCTCGGCTCTCACCGTGTTAATTTCGTGCCAATCTGTTGCCTCATCTCCAGCCTCTCTTCATCTGTCTGCATGGGGATGATATTCTTCTCTTCCAGCTCTCGCTTGGAGGGCCGGTTGCTAAGCTTGATCGCCAACGAGTCTTTCCTGCAGACCTTCAAAGCCAAAGAACCTGCAAAGGAAAGAGAGACAAGGGCAACGGCAATTTTAGACAAAATGATAACATACGTTTTTTTGTGTTAGTTGAATGGTATTATTGACCATTTTCACAGAACAGGTACTGATGGGCTACTCTGTGAAAACCGTTTCCACTATGTGTGTTTGTTTTTGGAAAGTGTCCTGCAGTTCCCTAATAAAGCAATTAACTAATTGCTGTTAAACTTTACAAAACTCCACAAAACAATTTTGAAATCTTTTGTCAACAGAAGACAACAATGGAACTGTACGTTCATATAATAGCAAAAGACGACAACAAATCTGAGTTGTTTTAGCTACTTGAGCAAACTGTTATGAATCATAAAACCTGTTTTCTGATTTTCTTTTCGTTGCCATTTTCCATAATGTGAAAAGTAACACTTCTGATGGCACAGCAAGAGAGCACAACATTGATTAAAACAGAAAAGAAAGATTACACTTCCTTGAGATTCCCCAGACCTGACAAAATCACAGCTATACATGGATATAAACACAGAAAGGGGACAAAAGCCAGATGAAAATGATACAATTTTCACTGGGGAAGCTTCATACAGAAAAGTCATTCAAAACCTGCCAATCCCTCTCCTGACCGTACCGAGCAGATTGAAGTGTTCTCATGGGTAATGTTACATGCGAAACAAGACCCACAGTATCACAGGAAGTGTGCGCAGTAGATCACGAACACTAGGGTACAGAGCGGTGATTTTGTTTGCAAATCTAACATAAGTACAATATAAAGGAAAATAAGGATGTCTGTTTAGCTCAACGGGGATAACACATGTCTAAATTATGGCAATGACAAACAATCCATACATCCATTTCCTAAACATTTCATTCAATGGAGGGTCACAGGGGAGGTGGGGCCTATCCCAGCAAGCATATTACATCCATCCTTGCTTAAATAATTGTATTCCTAATGAGCTTTTAATTTGAAAAGGCAGTCTTTTGAGCTGGTTTGTCTTCTCAGTTTGAGAATGTAGGTGACTACTAGTGTTTGATATGTAGGTAACATCTTTACAGATAAAGTTCTCTGAATTAATCTTCCCTCATTCTTTTTGGTGCAGATGTATCCGTATTTTATTTGCTTTTTTCCTGTGATACTAAGGATTTCTGTTAGACATTCTGAAACATGTTTTCTATGTTTAGACATTTTCTGAGTTCACTCAGAAAAACATACATATAAAGTCATAGAGCCTCAGGCTTGGATTTTCTTTACTGATTACATAAGAAAAAAAGGGAAACTTTTAACATCTTATTTTTCCTAAATTACATCTCAAGCATTTATGAAAATAACTCCGAAAGGTAAATATCTAAGGAGAGTTATTTTGATAACCGAAGATATTTTTGTATATATAAAAATGAAAATTCATTAAGAAAGCACAAGCAACAAATTGTGTAGAAGAAGCACTATTCCCTTTTTACATTCCCATTAATATTAGCAAATTGTGACATTTATTCCTCAAAATGCATCATGGGTCTTTTTCAAGATAATTATGATAAATAGAGGAAGGCAGAGATTGAGCCCAAGTTTAAAAAAAACTCAACCAAAGAGCTATAAAGACTGAAAGAAAAAAATGAAAGTGCATTTTTTTCACACATACCAACAAAATGTTATTTTATTTGCAATTTTAGTCTAGTTAGGCAGGCTACAGAACCCTATTAGCAACAGTGATAAAGCACTGCTGTTTCTGTAGTATCCATCTCTCAGCCCTGCTGTACCTGTTTTTAAAACAAAATATATTTCCATTGTGACTGGCACGTATTCCAAATCATCAGTAATGTGTCTTTGCCTTTGTGCTTCCAGTGCACCCATCATAGTACTGATAACCAGCAACAGCTTATGTCACAATCAAACTGGTTATTATTTCTTTGTATTTGAAAAGGGAACTAAATGGTATCTTTTGCGTCCTGTATTTACCTTAATTGAGCAGTAAACATTTTAGAAATAACAAAATAGATGCTGTTGTGTATGGTATCAAACTTTAGATTAATCTGTGGTAAGCTTTACCCTAGAGACCACCTAATGGTGACGATTTATTCATCTAGAATTCCCAGAGATTTATAATAGTATCTTTCTATCCGATTATATAATATATGTAAAACCCCGAACATCTGTGAATATCCACTGTGTATCTGCCTACAAATGCAGACCAGGACAGCGGGTGATATTATTGCTAATTTCCTTTTAGTACTTTTTCCTTTTACAAAATTAAATATCATTATATGAAACAAAATCCACTCTTCTAATGTATTAGAAAACATATTCTCTTACAGCATTTTGATTTGGCAAGTAATTGCAATAATTAGTAGATCTGTATGTAAGCTGTCTGCTGTAAACTACTGTATAATCTCATACTGAGCTACTGATATTCACGTCCCCAGAAAACAAAAAAAATACTATTGTTAAAAAAGACTAATCTTTGTAAAATATGTCTAATATTTGTGGTAAGAATCATAAATGGGACGACTGGCGATGATGGGGACTTACAGGGAGGAATACGTTGTTTTATTTTTCTTTTGTATTTGAGGTATGTTCAAATAATAAAAATAATGAATACGGGCTCATGTTAATTGACATTTGCTTTTCCGTTAATTCTGAGGTTGACTGACGGAAAAGTGCTTGAAGAGGGTTTGGACTCTCACAGAGTGATAAAGGTCTTTACTTGTAAAGAGCGTGTCGTCATCTTCATCGTCGTCATCGTCGTCGTCGTCATCGTCGTCGTCTTTGTACATGCTGGGGAGATCTTCATAGTCTGACTCATTAGGCACATTTTCTTTGTCATCATCACACTCTATCACTACTGTTGGCACTTGTCTTCCTTCCAGCCCTGTATGCAAGGCAGAGCTAAAACAAAGGAAGTGTTTGAAACATCAGCGTTCATGAAAACTGAACTCTGTCACTAACTGTGTAAATATCACACTATACTGACATGAAAAACACTAGACAACACTACACAATTTATACTTGCCTTAATTTCTTGAGTAGTAAGTTATCAATTTAGGCACTCTTAACACATTTTTTATTTTATATGGCTCAGCAATATATACTGTACCATTTCTTGATTTAGGATGCTTCTCAATCTTACATTAACACTGAGCGTCTGACACAATATGCACTACGTCACTAAGTTGCATATAAATTGCATTGTGAAATGCCTATATAAAATAAATCTTAAAATGTATTGTCTTCCTCGTAATAAAAAAGTCTGAAATAAAATACATAAAACCATAAAACAAAGTCAGCTGGTGTGTTAACAAAATCTTAAAAATGAAATGCAACGCAAATCTGTAAATAAAATAAAAAATGAGAAAAATAAAATAATACAAAAAGCATAAAAGAAAATTAAATAAATAAAAGAGACTACAGTTAATAATATAATGTTATGTCAGAGGCTTTATAATGGTCTTTAAAAGGCTTGTTGAAAGTATGGGCACAATATTCCTGCTTTTTCAACACCATTCATCACCCACACTGACAGTCTTCCATTCACATTTTATTATACTGATAAACATCAACAAACATTTGAATTAAAATAACCTTTAGTGACACATTTCCATGAATAAGTGTGTGTAACTGTGTTAACGTGGGAGCTCCACTCTCAGGTGGATAGTGAACCTGAAACCATTCACATGTACATTTTTCAGGAATGCTTTCTCGATGCAAATTGAGTTTTTCCTGGATGCGGATTTGAAAACTTCTGAAAGCCTCTTTCATTTATATAACAATGAATAAATATTACACTGACACACAACGTTCATCCTATCTTAAAAGGATAGCCTGATATTCTACAGAACCCTAACCTAAACACCAGTGCAGCATGAAGCCTCACTCAAAAACCTGACATACATAGAAGGAAACCAAGGTCTAGGCCTGATTACTGTACACCCTAAACAATACCATAAATTTAGTCCAATCCATGTACAATTAATAGATATCAAACATACTAACACCAACTTAAATACTGTAGAGTCTAAAGTACTTCCGTGGGATTCTTGCATAGTCTCTGCAGAGTTTGCAGTGCATGTACTGTTCTGTGCTGAGACTTGTGCCACTGGAGTCATCTGAGTTATACATCCATTATCACACAGCTGCCTATTCTTAGTAAAGATTGCAGCAACCAGAGGTCCATTCTGGACGCATCGTACCCACAACAGGACTGGACTTCAGAAAAACACATATGTTCTTTGTTATGGATAGACTGTGTGCCAGAAGACATTGTTACCGAAGTTAGAGCTTTCCAAACAACTAAAATACATCACAAAATTTAAAAATGGCAAACAGCGTTTGGAGTTGTACTCCTGTTGGACTTTACTTGTTGTAAATCACAAGTGCCATTTGCTGTTTCCATTCTGTTTTAAACTCCTTACTATATAACCAATTTACTCTTGGTCTCAGTAGGCTAAGCAATGTTTACCTCTAAAATGCCTCAGCACCTGGTTAAAAGGATTTTACTTTTGCAGTTAATTTATTAACTAGAACAGTAATAGAACTGTGAGCTTAGATGGAACATATCCAGAAAAGAAAACCCAAGAAGGGAGCCTATTGTTATGTCTGTGCTCGAACCCATGACAATAAAGCCAGGAGTCAATCCTGGACTTGAACGCTTCAAGTCTGATGCTCAGTGTGTTTAGTGGAGTCATGGGCTAAGGTTTCCAACAGCCATTAATTAAAAGCACTGATCTTTCACAGTGTAAAGCTAACACTGGTTTGTGAAACCGGCCTTTACAATATGGTAGGTTGCAATGCATGAGAGGCTGCAATCTATATCCACATGCGTCTGGTTGGTGTGTTTTTAATGTGACCTTCTCTTGCTCTTTGCGAGACCCTGCTGTGGGAGTTGAGATCAAAGAATTCAATTAATAATTAGGGCAGAACCTAACATCATTATCTGTAAAAGGAATGTCATGTTGAAAATGACCCTGCATATGTTTTGTTTTAATAAGGTCTGCAATTGTTAACTAGATTCTAATGAGCCACAAAAAAATAACCTTAGGGACATAAAAGACATTTATTCTTGTTTTTTAAAACAAAACGTCAACTGATTTTCTAAATCAATCTCCTTTAAAATGCCCTATTGAGAAGTCTTCAGAGATCCTTTAAAGTCCACAAATGTGAAACCGTATAATGATATTCTGTTGAGGAAACAGGATATAACTTGATGAGATGAGAAGCTTATAAATGCACTGTTATCAGGGCCATGCTCAAAGGACTGTCCCAAATGACAGTAAAAGCGTACGGAACACCTTAAAGAAGACCAGCTATTATCTTCTGAGCTTAAGAGGATGAGACTGCAATCCTGTACTTGAGAGGTGACATTGTGCGCAGAGCTGTAGAAGCCAGGTTCCTCTTGAGGATGCTGACTGTAGACGGCTCCATTACACAGTAAACCTGTTCCTAATCACAGGGCTGGCAGGACTGCACCCTGGATTTAGTGCCAGTGTCGCACCAGGGTGCACGAGACACCAGTAAAGCCAGCCAACATGTCTCAGGAAGGAGAGAGGAAACTAGAGCCTGTGGAGACATCTCACACCCTCATGGGGAAGACCTGTAAACTCCACACAGACAGCCCCTCAGCTTGAAATCAAACCCAGGGGTCTGCAGAGCTCACACCTCTGCCACTCTGCCATGGTAGGAGGGAAAGGATTTATCATGCAGATTCACCGCTGAGCACTTCCAGGAGAAGTCATTGTTTCTTGGGGCCAAAGACAGTGAAAGCTGACCCTCTTGAAGAAAAACTGACTCCCCAGCTGTACTCACAATATGTCACAGTGTGAAGTAGAGGACAGGCCGTTTTTAATTAAATTGGCTTTGTATTTCAAAAGAAACTGAAAACAAAAGATCTTAAAATAGAATGTTTATTCCTCAGTTCTAATATGTTATGGAGAACATTTCCACTGCCACAAACTGAAGTTGTGTTGTAATGTATGAACATGCCAACTAAATGTGGCAGAGAATTTCTCAAATTATTGGTGCCAGACTCACCAGCTGTTAAACCTTATGGGAGTGATTATATATGGAGACTGCATCTATGCGAACAAGTGAGATAAAAGTAAGAAAAGAAAATGATAGATAATGATTAATGTAGATAATGAATAGAAATGCTGAAGGAATATGATGCTGAAAATCAAAGAAAAAATCCAGTTAGGTTTATACTGTATTTACAAATAAAATTCAGAAAATAAAATTCAGACGTAGCTCAAGTACAAAGCAATAACAGAATTAACAGAAGCCACAGGCCTTTCTCCAGTAAGCCATACAAAAAAGTAACAAAATTTATTTTATATGTTCTCCCATCAATTGTGAAACCTGATTTTTGACTCATACACAAGTATATAATAACGTTTTCTTCCATCTATGAAACTGTTACTTGCAAGAGAAACACTGTATGTATTTTAAATTCTGCCACTTGCTTTCTTTGCTGATATAATAATATAGCAAGAATGGACTCTGATAATATGTTTTTCTGTTCACCTTCTTCTGATGAATACAAACCTCTTGTGGTTACATAACCAACAGTACAGACCACACATTGCAGTACGACTGGTGTCAGGGGAGGGGGGGGTAGGGGGACTTTTTAACTCTCTGCAGACTCATCCTTTCCAAGGACAAAAGGTAAGGTTAAGGATTCGTTTGGAAATTAGTAATGGAATTATGTCACGTACTGTAACCCAGAGGGTGCACATGGGAAACAGTCCGCACGCCTGCAGAATATCAGCTGTGCAAGCGTTTGATGGCTTGAAAAAAATATCAAGCAGTGTGACTGTCAGTTTACAGTAGCATGCATACATGTTTGTTCTTCCATCATTTCTATTATTCTTTTTTTTTGCTGTCCTTATACTAGATATTTGTGCGATTATCCCAGGGTGTTTTTTATAAAGTTCACGCACATTTGCTGTGACATTTTTCCTTTTCCCTCTTCTTCACTGCTGTTTCTTTAGTAGTTATTTGTGACAGGTTCACAGTTTATTGTTTTTTCACCAATACCAGGGAATTTAGAAGTACTGTAATTACTGTCATTGTCTCTGCACGCACCACACTGTAAGAGTTAATACAACTAATTAAGCTCTATGGTGCACATTTGCCTAATGTCTTGCAGTTCACTGGTTGGCTCTGATGAGCTATTCTTGTCACCCAAGAGGCTCTGCATGACAGCGTGTTCATGATTTGCCCTTTCATTGCTCCCCTGATCCATTATTGTTAAAATGGGACACTGACTTGGCTGAATGAAAAATAACGCAAGGTTACCCTTTCTGCAAACTGACAACGGCCTGGCCTAATTAGCCCATCTGCCTTCTAACCAAAGGTTACACATTAGCTGCTAATTTTGAAAACTGTGATCTTTACATGACCTTTCCCTTTGCGAAAATGCAGACGTTTGCCCCGGTTCCTGTAAAACGGGCTTGGAAATGTTTTATTGCTGTAAAATGCCCTCATACACTGGTTTCTTTACTGTTTGTAACTTATGAATCCACATGAAGTGAAATCTCATTTAAACCTTTCAGCATCTAAAACTGCAAGCTACCCTTGGAACAGCATTCACTGTGTCCATGTATAAAAATGTACTTTGGGTGTGATTAACACAGCAGAATCAGATCTTCTCAAATAATGAAAAATCGTTGGTAGTTCTTTATTTCATCTGCTCTCCATATTCATATTCAATAATAAAGTTTATTATAATTATTCCCTGCCCTGACTCATCTAAACTGATCAAAATTGCCAAAAAACATTCTTTGTTTTAACAGTCTTTTGGGGTTTTAATTTTATATTCGCAAGGCATTCTTAGGGATTCTATTGAGGAACTCCTGAATCAGGAGTTTTCAAAGAACAAAGACGCCATGGTCTTTACACACAGTTTTGGAACGATGAGCCACGCCAGAGGACATTATAATTAGAACAATTTTATCGACCTCCTGCAGATCAGGAGCAAATGAAAATAACATCAGTGCTGCTCATCCGGAATGAAATGTGTTTCTGTTTCAAGAATATTATTAACTTTGTATTACATATGCACAGAAACACAAAATCCAATGCAGTGTCAGATAAAAGTGCACAGTCAAGCAACAGGAAAATCTGCTACTCTTTACTATTGTTAGAGGTTATATAAACAGGGATAAGTAAATAGAACAGGTTGTTCAATGCACAGCAGTCTGTTGACTCACCAATATTAATAGACTTTAGTGCCTTTTGTTATCAGAATATATGGCACCTTCCACATCCCTAGTTTTCAAACTGGCACATTATGCTTAAAAATGAAATAAAAGGACAGAAAGTACTGACTATTTGAGTGGCTGGTATTTGAGAAAGTCCAAGCGATGGCAATGAGACAATTCTGTTTGAGATAAAAAGCCGTGAGGACGAAGGAAACATCTTCACAGCTTCTGCATTTCACTGTTGGACGATTTGGAAGGGCCCATAAATTATATCATCAGCCCCCCATCAGACAACTATGGCAACAACAGGAACCTATTAGTCTAGAACGAGATTGATTGGCCAGGCCGGCAACATCATTTCTCGTGTGTTAAACGATAAGAAGCTTCCAGAAAGCAGGACATGGCTGTCAAGGAGACCTGCGTTCTGGCTTTGCAGCGGGGTCCTTCTGGCGTGCCGTCTCCCCGCCAGCTGCAGAACGCACTGTCTCTGAACGGGAGAAGTAACTGAAACTCACAGGACCGTTATCACACCCACGCTGCCATAATTCTTCATTCTTAAAATTGACTGACAGCACAAGACGCATAGATCATAATAAACTGACAAACCAGCGCCGGCGAGCCCCACATTTCCTTATTTAGCTTTCCATAGTCATAGCGTCAGCGGTTTAGAAGAGGCACAATTTTTATTGTATTTTATATTGGCGGATAAAAGCGACGTGCTGCATTTTAAGGAGCGTCTTCCAAGATAATGCAGGTGCATTTCCTCGTGAGAGGAAAGTTTAAAGCACAAGAAGAGGCCCCCAGTGACATTACAGCCCGCGTCGACCCCGGGAATACAGTGCATACAGCCTTTCTTCTCTGGAACTAAAGAGATTCATAAGGACTCAAATCTTAAAGATACAAATAAAAAAAAAGTTGGTGACCAAAAATGGGACATAAGAATGGTTACAAATGAGAGGAGGCCATTTGGCCTTTTTTGGCTCATTTGCGAGTTAGTAGGTATAAAGTGCTCATATAGGTGTTCCTTGAAAGAAGCCAGGGTATCAACATGGCTGGGTAGCTTGTTCCACACTCCCACAACCCTTTGGGTAAAGAAGAGCTTCCTGTTCTCAGTTTTAGATGCATGTCATGTAGCTTCACTTGCGTCCTCTGGCTTTAAAGTCATTTAAGCTTTAAAGCTACATATTAATATTTTATGACCTATTAAAATTGCGAATGCCAAGAAAGAGTTAATTTTGTTCACTCTTTTACATAATCCATGAGAAGCACACACAGACTTGTGTGGGTCATGCTAATAATACCATCTACACAGGCTATATTTGACAGAAACAGCTCCTTTTTGACACAAATTATTTATGGACTCTTTACGGGTCATCAATTTTTAGTGTCCCCATTAAGTTTTAATTTCCTGATCAGCAAAGTTTAATAATTTAATCATCATTCACTTCCTCTGCAAGTCTCTTTTATCTCACAGTATCAATACACTGTGTAAAATGGCATTTATCTTTACAGTGTTATAAAATTAGATACTAAGACTTCAAATGTTTCAGAAGGCTTGGAGGCTGCACACTCATTCCCTGAGATGTATGCTGATCAGGCTCAAAGGAATAAGAAATCTGCATAGTTTCTTTCATGGTATTTTTTTTCCTGTGAATTCTAAACTGCTGAAGCAGAATAAGAACCGTTGGCCCTTTCTTGAGACATGAATTGACAACAGGTAAAAAAAAAAACAGGATACAAATTGTGCAGAACAGAAGCTGTTTCATTAGACAAAACTCAACAAACACAAAAAAAGAGCACGCACTAAGAGTTCAGATACAACAAAAGCGCTGTACGTGAACAGGGTTTTAAGAACAAAAATCTGAACAGGATCGAGTGGGGAGCTGTGTCAGAATGCACTGGCTGCAAAGGAGCAAATAATGGTTAGTTTCCCACTGAAAAAGCAGAAGAAACACACACAGCGTTTCAGCGGTTGAGCCTTCTTCAGCTGGGGGCTTTCTCCCTCATACCTGAAGAAGGCTCAGCAGCTCCCCGTGCGGTCCTTTTCCTGGGGAATTGACCTACCCTTGTCCGTCACTGTCCGCCAGAACAGGTTGTCACGTCTCTGTTCGCCGGCCTAGTTACCTCATTCTGTAAGGAAAACACCCCCCCCCCCCCCCCCCCCCCCCCCAGGGCCCTGCCTACCCCTCACCTCTCCAGCCTCTGCATGGTCAAGGCCAGGGTCTTGTTGAGCTCCTCGATGACTCTGCTGGAAGGCACCGGGTGGAGGGAGATGGGCACCGGCGTGGGGGACAGGTGGGTGCCGCCGTACTGCAGCGGGTGCTGCTGGGAGGGCAGCATGGCCGGGTGGTGCTGCCCTAGAGGCTGCGGAGAGCACTTCTGTGAGGAGTAGGAAGTGAGGGCAGGCTCCATGCCACCCGGGGGAACACAGATCATCACCTTCTTCGGAGGTAGTGGAGGAGACAGCTTGCCCGGCATACAGGGCAGTTTGATGGGCTGGCCTGAGTCTGTGGAGAAATAAATCCAAGCCCATCTGAGGAGGCGTAATAATGCTGCACAGCACGTACATGAAGGCACCAGACAAACAACTTTGCAACGGTTACAGCTGGGGGCAGGGGTTGCTGATCCCAGTCCTGGAGGACCTGCTGGTGTCTGGTCAAGCCCAGTTCAATGTGACAACTGGACGCTTAACTGACCTCATCACAAGATTATTCTGATTCATCTTTAGGAGCTTTCAGCTCTCAAACGCGTTCCGGGGTCGCCCTGTAACTATTGCATTCATTAATGCGAAATATAAATTTCACTTGTTACAAGTTATCAAGCTATAGCAAACTAGTTTCAACAAACTATATTATTGCCACAAGAAAAATTAAAGGGTACACGGCACCTTAAAGAAACTCACATGTTTTCATATCTTCCTTTCATTGTATTACATATCTTCCCCAAGTGATTTTTTTTTAATATTCCAAAGCACAACCTGTCATCAATATGCCTAAGATTTTGTCCTTCCGATGTTCGGCTGCAAAATACATCAGAGCTCAGAGCTCCCGCCCTCAGAGCAGTCTCCTGCTACTGTGGAAACCAGCGGAGGTGCTATGCTCTTCCCTAGATGGCACCTGGGTGAATGTTTTAAAAGAGCTGTATTTGCATTTTCACATACCTTTTGAAACTATGCTTCAGAACATCACGCAACGAGCAAACAACATGCAGGAGAAGAATGCAGCCCGCACTATAATAATTGTTAGTGTCTAATAATGTTATGCAGTCTTCAAATCACAGCCAACCTACAGAAAAGTATGGCATGTTTCCTTCTCAATATATATGATATTCCAACCCATGGCTAAATGACCTTGTGAGAGCAGAACAAAGAAAACAAGCACCCTAACTAAAAGCAGGTAAAGCCGCAAGCAGGTACTGTAAGTAGCCCTCGGTCAAAATACCATCTGTGTCCCTGTGCAGTCCTTTCGCTCATTAAATATCTTTCTGTGACCAATTAAGATCTTGCAGCTTCAGAGCAGATGTCAGTCTGTTCAGGAGAGTCAAAAAGTGCCAAAGTAACAGCAACATTAAAAACGAGGGGAGTTCGCAGGTCAGCGAAAGGTTATACTGACGAATCTAAAATAACATTGCTCAATGCACAGTGCCAAGAACAAGTTTCTGAACCCCTAATGTAATTATGGTAATAACAATTTCTTATTATGGTACCCTTTATTAATCAAAACAAGCCTTTTCTTAAGTAAACAAAGGGTTTACATGGACCGTTTCAATGCTTTTTGAGATGCAATGGTGTATGAAGTAGGAACAATATCAATAATAAAGCAGTGTATGTAAAATAATTCACAAACGCCTAATTTATTGAGCACAACTAAAAGGCTGACTATAATCAGATGGTTACATAATTGGATAAAAGGTAAATGGGGACTGAGTTTGGATAGACTTGTCCTATATGATGATCAGACACTTTATGAGTTTGGTCATCACCATACAGCTTAGTGGAAACAAGTCACACCACAATCAAAACAGATTGATGCTCATCAGTCTGGAAAGGGTTACTAAACAATTTCTACTCTTCTGGGGCTCCATCCTTCTACTGTCAGACAGACCATTTGCAAATGGGAAATCTTTAAGACCACGGAGACTCTACCCATGACCAGTCATCCTGCTTTGATCTCCCAAGAGCAACCTGGAAAATCATCCAGGAGGTCACAGTGAACCCCCGAGTATCCTCTGAGGATCTGCAGGCCTCTCTGAACAGCAGCTCCTCCAGCTGAGGTTATAGAGAGGGTAATGGTTTGGGGACTGAGCGCATGTATGCTCTACTGTTCCAGCAGTTTGCGATTCATTTGCAATTTGAGGATTGTTTTGGCCAGGGAGGGCGATTTAAATCAGGCCCCTACTCTTTACGTCAGAAACATCGCCTTCCACTTGACCAGGAGTTCTTAATAGTTGGGTAGTAAGTGTATTAAAGGCCATGGCCTCTATTTACCTGTAAACACCACTGCAGGTACTAAATACAGATGCATAAATGAAACGTAGGAAGCCAGGAGAAATCATATCTTTCCGAATGGCTATTTAGATAGATTTTTAATTTAACTCAAATATGTCAATTTTCAATTAACATGATATCCATTCATTATAAAAAATGAGCAACTAACCTTTACAGGCATATGACTATGTATTCTTTTTTTCCACAGTATTGAACAGTTGCTGGTCTCTGGAGTTATTACCAGGCTACAGAGAATCCTGATTCTGTGCCTCTGCAAGCTCAAATGGAAAAGGTATACTGGCTTTCATGCAGATCACACTGATACCACAAGATATCTGCAAAGTGTTGTGCTGAATGCACAAAATCTCACTTCTACCTCTATATTACATTAAGATGCCAGTGCAGGCAGATATGAATAGTTCAAAGAATCGTTTGACATTTGTCATGTACAAAGCATGCCTGTTTTTGTGTTGTCATGTGGGGTCGTGGATAAAATTTTAACACCCCCCCAGGCGAGTAAGGAGAAAATGTAATAACTGATCCACAGGACAATTTTGATCTACACAGAATTGCTGAAAGGCTGATTAACAATCTGTCAATGGTGGTAGGTTTAGTGCTGCATCATAAAAAAGGAATAAAATTAACCAGTCAGTAATTTTATCACACGAGGGCCATGAAGCCGTTCTTCACCAGTGTTTGAACACCCTGAGAATTGTTTAGAGCAACTTTAAAATGCTTTATGACTGTATCACATCTCATTTACACTTGTGAAAGATGCTGGAAAATAGGTCAGCGAAATATTATGTTTCAAATTTTGTTACGCACAAGCAGGCAACAGTCCAATAAAATAACAGTTCAATATGCTCAAAAAGAATTATGAGACATCGCTTCCTCCCGGGAAAAGTATAATGATCAAGGATACAACCTGAAACAGTTTAAGGCGGAAAGCAGACCTCTGTGTAATTCTGGTTACTGTGTGTATGCCCCCGAGGAATCAGATGTGACAAAAAGAGCAGAATCCGTTTCACCATAGTGAGAATTAACGAGAAAAAAACTGTATCGGGCCATCCGCATTGCATCTCAACAGCATTCATCACCTAAGATTCTTAAAAGGATCATTTACACCCTACACCGAAAAAACCCGCAGACCGACACAGTTAGCAATGGGGAAGGACTCTTGTTTATCCCCACCAGGGTGCTGTTCCTCGATTCAAAATTGCCACCTAAAACACAGAGCCGACAAGTTTTATTGCCTCCCAAACCACATCATCGTCTAGCAGCCTCTGTAGTTCTTTCAAAGCTGTTTACTGCAGAGGCAACACTGATGCCTGAACCATGTGCCACCTCTGTGGATAACAATTTAATCAAATCAATAGAAAGGGATTTCTAGGATCTAGATCTTCCAGACGCCGCGATGCTAGCACCTTAAAAGCCTTGAAAGTGTGGGATGTCAGCAGGCAAAACTTGAATACCTTAAGACATGTCACTGAACTTAGAAACACTCTTTAACCAAGGATTTAACTACGAGGCTTTGGAAAGCAACCAGCTTCATCTCAGACTACCACACATTCACGGCCACACATTCACTGCTTTCCCGAAGATTGTTACAGAATCTGGAAAAGTGAAAAAGACCGGATACGGGGACGAGGAATAACTCACCGGCTATGTGGTTGGGAAACCGTGAGAAAGGCTTAGGAGGAAGAGCTGGGGGTTGCTTTAGGAACATGGGCTGCTTCACTGGGGTGTCCTGATTGTCACCAGGGAAGGCCACAGGTTTTTTAGGAGGCAAAACCAAGGTAGGCTTCATCAGAGGGTCCTGGGAGCAGACTCCAGTTTCAATAGACGTCTGGAATTCTACTGAGCCTGAGGGACAAAAATACATAAGGTGTGTCACAGCAGGAAGGGTTCTGAACTCGCAGCCCGAGTGCATCATTTTTTTCCCCTTGATTTACAGGTAGCCCACAAGCAGAAACAGAAAGAGCCTGTTTGAAAACACAGAATTGGATGAGACCTGCAGTATGCAAGGGAATCAATCTCACGAAACCGCCCATTTCCATCTTCCATGGCCTAGACAAAGACTTACAAATTCTTCAACAGTACGGTAGTGTGTGTGTGTGTGTGTGTGTGTGTGTGTGTGTGTGTGTGTGTGAGAGAGACACTCAGCTGAGCTCAGGCAGTGAGACAGTCCTCTGCAATTGTGGTCTAGTGTGCATAATTGACACTGAATGCCACCGAGTCTCACAGACATACTTTAGATGAACAAATAAAATCATGTGCTTTATACTTCCCTAAGGACTGTAAAAGAAGGCTTTTTTAGAAACACACACATACACTAAATGCGCTAGCCAATCAAAAGACATTGTGAATATGACTGATCTTGTTTGAAAACAGTCACAAGAAAACATTCATTTTTAAATTTTAACAAAAATATCTGTAATTACTGAACACTGAAATGAAATCAACATCTATAAACACAGATGATTTGAGTTGCTAGATTTTGTACGAACACATACAGTATATGCCGAATGTAAGTCTCTACACACGTACTGTATACATTGCAGTTTATTTTTGTAATTCAACTCAATCCCTTTTAGAACAGAACTATAAACACAGCAAATTAACGTTTAAGATTTGTTCACACTGTTCTATAAATTGCAATGTGTATATTTACACATTGATTCATTTCACTATTATCTAAATATGTAAAAATGTTGAAAACAAAAAAAAGACCTCAGTTTCTATTGCTTTTCTCTACTACCATTGGATTAATACACAGCAGACTTTACCTCAATGAGTACTACTTTCTTTGTCAAATTTCTGAATTTCTGGATATGAAGTGAATCCACAGATATCCAAAATAGTACTTGGATTAGCATTATATCAGAAGCATTAATGTCGGTGTTTTTGTCTTGGGTGGAAGTCCACTAGAGAGTCAGGACACCTTCTTCAGATATCAAGCGCACACAGTCCTGGGCTGTTAAGGTGACTGCTGCCTAAATGAGTTAGACGATACAGCCGTTAAACATAAATGAATGAATTCATTTTATGTCTCTGTTCCTAGAAAATACAATAACCCACAGTCCAATCAATCTGCTTAAAGCTGCTAGGTCCAATTTTAGAGCAGGTAGCAGCTGACACTTACTACAAAAAATCGCTTCTTAATATCCAGGAGCCGTCTCACTCTCTCAGATGAATCCTAATTTAAAGCAGAACCTTCCCTGGTTTATTTATAGCCTTCTTGAAGAATGCTGTTTCACACAGGTAGCCAAACCAAATGTGATTCTGTCTATGGATCTGTTTTAAGATAAGATAGATGTTAACGATGATTTTTCGCTAATTGTACACAAGGTTTCAATGATTAAAAAATAATTGGTCTCAGACAAAAGTCATTCTTTATGACTTTCTCATTAGAAAGAAATGTAACTACAGTCCAGCAGACTCTTTTAATCATTTAAGCCTGGAGTAGAACATAAACTTAATTTGCTTCTTATGACATTTTTTTGGTATGCTGCAGTTCAACCTTCTCTGAAAGCTTTCAGACAGAAAGTTTAGTAGCACTAAAACAGAACACTTTTACCACAATGGACATACTGGACACAAATGTTTTGATTGTTCAAAAGGGGAAAAATACATTAAATATATCTAAAATGCAAAGAAAAAATCTAATTAAAGGGTAAAGCATTTGACCGCATACAGTAGTGAATATAAAACTACTGGTGTCTTGTCCATCATCTTTTGCGACTTTCTGCTTTTGCTGACAATTTATTGTAAATTTTCAATTTATATCAAAGGGTGTTTGGCCTCCTAATGAATGTGATCAATATCTCAGATGTCTTGCTAATTTTGAAATCAGATGTTTTTGCTCACTTTTCAACATTCAGGAGCTCCTGTTTTAAAGATGTATAAATGTTCCTGTACCAGTTGTTACTTTATCGGTTAACATAGTTAGCACCACTTTAACATAGGTCACGTGAAGCAATAGCAGTGTTTTAAAAAAAATCACCATCATCCTTTAAGTCTTCTGGGAAAAATGGAAAAATACTGAGCATTAATGTAATAATCATCATTTGAATATGTGTAGTCCTTATCTATTCTTCCACTCTTTTTTTATATTAGAGCCCTGGAAGAGTTATGCACAGTAATTTTGCTGCAGTTTCATCCACAAACACATTAATCCCTCTTCTACATGGAAGTGAATATATGGACTTAAGTCCAGATGGGAAGGAAATGTCGTAATGATCTGAAAGAATGTTAATTGCTAACTCATTAAATTACAATTCGGTTATACATGAAACCATGGCCCAAGAACACATCCAAGGAAAAAAAAATACAACATTAGGCACTACTACAAAACGTTCAATCAGTTGTATGAACTGAATCACTGTATCACAGCTGATGAGGTAAACAGGTGAGAAGACCTACACCTAAAATGAGGGGCTACACACTAGTTTCAAGTAGTATAAGCAGCTATATCACCCTGCAGCTCTCAACTTATACCCACTGAGGCTAAGCAGGGTTGAGCCTGGTCAGTACCTGGATGGGAGACCTCCTGCGAAGCTATTGTTCCTGCTGGAAGAGGTGTTAGTGGGACCAGTAGGGAGCGCTCACCCTGCAGTCTGTGTAGGTCCTAATGCCCCAGTATAGTGGAGGGGACACTGTATTGTAGTGGGTACTGTCTTTCAGATGAGACGTTAAACCGAGGTCCTTACTCTCAGTGGTCATTAAAGATCCCTGGTGCACTTCTCAATTAGAGTAGGGAGTTATCCCGGGGTCTGGGTCAAATTTCCCCTCTAGCTCTTTACCATGGCCTCCAAATTGTCCCCATGTATGATTGGCTTGCACTTGCCCTGCAATGGACTGGTACCCTGTCCAGGATGTACCCTGCCTTGCGCTTGGTGCCCGAATTGATGAAGCTATCATATATCTTCACTACTTCTATTGATCGTTTACAAATTCAAGTAATGCATCCTTTCAAAGTGAGTTCAGACAGCTACTTTACACCTTAAAAGACTTATTAAATCACATTGGTGTAATAATGCACCGGGTAAATATTTTAATGTAGCTTGAAATATGTTGAATAATGAACATGCTCACTGTAATGCATGTGGCAATCAAAGGCTCCTTCTAACTCAAAAAGACAAGAAGTTAAAGATTTCATCAAATTATTTAACAGTACTTTGATATTCAGAACGCAACAACTGTCCTTTTCCATCTCAGAATCCCAACATGTAGATAAGGAAAATAATATCTATTTTTATAATCAATGCATGACTTATCAAAGAATTATGTTATTAAAAATGCAGGCTAAAGTCTTTGGGGAGGAAATAACTAAACACTACTTTGCTAAAAAAATGAACCTGAAGTGAACAGACGAGAAGCAAATTTGTAGTCAGCCTCATGAGTTCCTGTAAAGACTGCCAACGCAGACGCAAACAGCTTGTCGGGCCAAAGCTCCTGTCAGTAGTGTGGAAATGGGGGCCAGGAAGCCATCCTAACTAAACTGCACATCGGGAGGGAAGACTTACCTGTCCCGTCCATGAGTTCTGGGGTGGGAAGCACCTCATACGTATGATCCTCTGCTTCGCTCTCTAATGTGTTAGACATGGACACCGGTGACTGCCCGTTTTCTAACTTCCCGTCTTCTTTTGTTACAGGGATCGTCCCATCTGATGTAACAGAGAAAGAAGAGATGTCACAAAACTGGTGAACGCTACCCAGGTGTCCACTTCTGAGCCCCCTGCCAGCCCTGGGCTTGAAGAAGCTACAGTAGAATAACATTCGAATGCCAATGCCGTCAAGCAAGCTGTAGCTTTTTAAGCCCAAGGCCAATCCTTCACAAGCCTAAGCTAAAGAACTGGGCTCTACCTTCCTCTCCTCTGTCTTGTTCGTCCATGCTGTTAGCATCCATTAAACCTGAATGGAACATAAAGTTAATTTCCGGACCTAAGATATCATTTTATTGCCAGTTTATATAAATATATAACATTATAAAGTGATGTTATATCAAACGTGTGTGGTCAGTTTATAAGTGGGGAAAAAGGACTGGGGGGTCCTGGACCTGCGTCTGGGCGGTTGCAGGTTCAAATCCCACGAGAGACACTGCTGTTTGCTCTTGTACCCTTGAGTAACATTCTTCCTGCTTTGGGTGCTTCACCTCAGCTGTTGCAGTAAAATCCCCAGCTGTGTAAATAGTTTCAAACATAAGTAGCTTTGGGTATGAGTGTCAGCCAAAAAAATAAAACAAAAAGAGTGGCTAGAACTACAACACATAAGCTCTACATAAGAAGTTTTTCTAGCTTGGCAGGGGGTGTGATCCCCACTGCTTTAGTTGTCACGATCGTAATCCCTCCTCTTTAGGGCGCTCTGGTTACTTTCACCAGCCCCCTGTTCTGCTCCTTCTCATTTAAGCCTGGCGCTCCTGCTATTCCTGGCTCAGCATTGGAAGACAGACGCCCGGAACCCCGCCTACCAGCGGGTCCAGGAGAGACCCGACGGCATCGGCTTCATCACGGCGTCCTGACCGTCTGAGTCCGGGGCTCGGAGCGCCTGGCCTCGTCATCCTGTTTTTATTCCCTGTCCCTGTACCGGATCCCGTTCCGGTTTTTAACTCTGTTGTCCCGTCTTGGATGGATCGCCCAGTTTTGGACTTTGGGACTGCGCCCCGGATTTCCCCCCTGGACTCCTCGGACTTGTTCGCCCTGGCTACGCCCCCCGAGCACCAGATCACCATCGTCACACCCCCTCATCTGTCAACCCCTCCTGATCCTTGTCATCTCCTCCCTGTCGTCCTTCTCCGCTCACTTCTGGATTATACCGACTGCATAGGGTTCAGAACTCTGCTTCACGGGAGCCTGGACATTAGTCCCCCGCCCTCAGTACCAAAGCTATCTTCTTTCCATTCATGTTGCTGAGAACATCCCCCAGTAACAGCCTGGATGAGGCCACTGTGTCAGCTATCTGGAACAAAACCCTAGTTAGCCAGCACAGGCACTGCAAAGCTCTTGAAAGACAGGCTTGCAAGACCTCAGTTCTTTAACCCCCTTATTAAACAATATCATTATCTTAATATAAGTAAAATGTATGTCACCTAATCCTGATATTTACTACATTTTTTCTCTGTTATATTCAATTAAAAACTACAGAATGATCTTACATTTCTACACAGATGTTTCCAGCTCTCTCTGTATTATCACAGTGTGTGTAACCAGGGATAGACTTAATTTTTGGAATACTACCTTGTGTCCCTTGTTTCCAGGACAGGCTTCTCCTGACCTGGAAAGAGTGACTTTCTCATAATGAATGGATGCTTAGTTTTGACCAGTGTCTGGGATCTTGGTCATTTTAGCCTGTGTGAGATATAACTTTTGTATATGTTTCAAAATATAACTTGATCCACCAGAACATATTATGAAGAGCTGAAGACCATTCTTCATTAGGTTTACACACCATTGGATCTGATGCAATGGATCTGACAATGCCTTCTGTTAAAAATACTAAAATATCAGAAGTGAAGCTAGAGTATGGCATAATTCAGGTGGCAGACCTGATCGTTTGTCAGGGGTACACTGCTGGGCACCTGTTCTGCAAAGCCCAGACAAGAGCCAGGCCCGCTGTGCCAAAAGATCAGCCCCTGGCCCCACTGCTACAAATCGCCAATAGAGAATTAAATCACGGACAAAATGACTACTTGGACAAGGAAGTATTGTCTAGAAAATCACCAGTTTTACGTGCTCACACGACATTTGCATAACTGCAAAACCACATAATCTTAAATCAGTAATAAAGGTAATAAAAAAATAAAGGAAATCGTAAAATACACTGCAAAGCACCAACACTGTTTCTGCAGACTGCCATCTTCCTAAGTAAAGGATCTTCACAGGCTTGTATCACTGCTTTGGATGTGAACAACATGAAAGCACAGCAAAGCCTACACACCAGTACCCTCATTCTTTCATTTTCCAATAACGTCAGGTTATCGGATCTAATGCATGTACTACAAAACTCGTGTTTTCAGATGTATTCTGGACAAAGAGAAGGGACCATCACATGGCCTACTTTCTGTGAGTGGTGAGCCCTTCACTGTTCTTAAATCCATTACAAACGGTGATCAAAATATCCTAAAATGTTCCTTAACATGTTTTCACTGAAAACAAGTTCCTACAATGAGATTCACCATGGTGTAATGCCCATAACATCACTACACAGTAAGGGAGGCTACTGTATGTCTTTTACCTCGAAAGGAAAGAAATACAGCGGGGAAAAAACCCAACACAAATGCTCAAACCAGAGGCCACCAGGGGAAAGTACATGGGAGAGCATTTAAGCCTGAGATCAGAAGACACTTCTTTACCCACAGAGTGGGAGTGTGGATCAGGCTGCCCAGCCATGCTGTTCACACCGACACCCTGTTTTCTTTCAGGAAGCTACTGAACTAGATCGTTGGATCAATTAGCTGCTAACAACCAAATGGGCTAAATGGACCAAACGAGTTTGTCTTGCCAGTAACCATATGTAAAGTACGTCCTTCCATTCACTTATTTTGCTGACTTTCTGCCTTCATGCCCATTAATAATTTATAGTAAAAATCACAACATATGTCTCTAACATGGTACCTATCCCATGATCAACCATGAGCTTTAAATACTGACCCAGCAAATGGGCTACGAGACATTTTGCATTAAAAAGAGAACTAGTGCGCAGATGCAACAATTCCCTATCGAGACTGCAGAGGACCGGAACCACTGTAGGCATCTATTTGAGACTTGCCTATTACTTGGAATGCAGTAGTGGTAATAATGAGAAACCTGCACTGGTATTTTCTTAAACATTACAGAAAACTCAAATTAATTTCAATATATCAAAATACCTCAAACAAAAGATTATATACAGTACGTGTTGGTTTAAAAAACTGTTTTCTAAAGTAGACTTTTACAGCACTGTACAGAGAATACGTTACATGAGATTGCTAAGGAAAGCTATCATCAGACTAAAGATCTCTTCTAAAAATACCCAAACAACTCACTATTTCCAAACACTTAATTTTCTACATTTCTTTTAACATAAATGAAATGTGAAAAAACTGTACCTTTGATAGACTGGTGAAAAAAATGGTCTCTAAAGATTACTTCTCAAGTGTCACACCTGAATGGCTTAATTTTCATAGCATGTATATCAAGAGTGTGCAGCTCAGAAAAGTTTATGTTTGCAAATAATATGTAGAAAAATTAACTGTAGAAGTATCAGAAGAAAATATGTTTTATATAACAAATGTAAATCCAAAATATTTAAAAATGTAAAAGTACAATAATTTTTATTTTATTAAAATGTACCAACGAAGAAAAACAATTATTAAAAGAAAAGCCTTTAAGGAAAAGCCATTGTGCATTTGTAGAACACAATGTACTGACTAATTCTGACATTCAGAGCTTATTATTCAAAATAATTCAACAATTATTTTTGTGCTAGTGAAAATCATCTCCAAAAACTAGTGATAATATAATTAAATAATTCATTAGAAAATTTACTGATGAAGGGAATTATGCACAGTCAGTAATTATTATTCTCCAACAGGTAGTCTGAAAAATGTGGATTAGATTCCACTACAGCTAATTGCTGTTTCCTGATCCCATCTATTAACATTATGTTTCCTTGAAACACAGACTGTCTGTTACACATTCTTTGACATAATGAAAAATCATTTGTATGAGGATCCTAGACACAACTTTTGAGACTGGAACTCATGATCTTATAACTTAAAAAGAGAGCTTTAAAAATCTAATTAAAATAACAGTGACAACCAGTTAGAGGCATTTTTCTTATTGCACCAGATCAGATAATTGGTATGCACAAACGGCATAATTCTTACTTACCACTGTCTGCTGTTTTGAATAAAAAAAAATCAGTGCAGGGCATTTGTGAAGCCTTTCGATCACCTCAAAGAAGAGATGTTGCCTGTTACCTTTTCTAAAATGTGCAGGAAGTTCACATGGTGTGAAGATGGGGTCAAGGGCATTTTGGCAACAATGAGACTATTCATCACCTACAAAGACACACATAACAGATAGAGAAGTATCCTTCTCAAAGGTGGATTTCATATGCATCCTATATACTATATGTCATATATACTGATTAAATGTCAAACTATATCTACTGTATATTGCTTTTGATTATATATAACAAACCTCTGAGCCACAGAGAAAGAAAGAAGAATTCACTCTTTTTTAAGACACCAGTGCTTGCTATACCACATGCACACAAAAGACGAGTGACTGTCCAGCTTTTGTACCCCTGTGTTTTATTTTGTTAGCTGACTATAACCACCACAGACAATTGTTTTTTTATTTTTTACCATCACCCTGTTTCAGATTCTATAGAGTACTTTCTTCAATAATGAACACGTTTCCTTGGTGTCGGCAGCATTATCCAGCAATGGAACCACTGATCCAGAGATAGGTTATCTGGAGATAGGTTTTGGAACGGGAGTAATAAGCTCACTCCTGTAATTATTAGGAATCTTGCTGTTCAAGTTGAAAGGTAAAATATTAAAAGCATAATAAAGCCTAAAGCAGACCTACCACAAACCCTATTAGACAGGGTTCATTATTTAAGCAATACCATACTATCAAAAAATTTAAATTTAAATATAAAGCTTCTTGTCTTGGAGTGAAAAGGTCCGCTTCTGTTGCTGGTGACCCTAGATTTAGAACTGCTCGATATTTATTTAATTGGATCGGGTTTACTTGAAAGATTTAAAACGAGTGCATTAATGATGCTGTGTATTATCTGGCACTCAAGGTACAGCTTCTGTTCAGTGCTATTGTCATTTAAAACCTGTTTTCTTTTCATTAGGACCAATCAATACAACCTGGAAGTGTGGTAAATGCTAACAACTGCTCTTCTCTGTAGCCAAGTGAGTCAAATTCTTTCATCTCATCCCACGGAGTACAGCTCAATCAATACAAAAGACAAAGTTGTTTTCCAAGTTTCAGCTTTAATCACCTCAGTGTCGTAGAAACCCTTCCCCAGACATCAAAATCCAAGCAAACAATCGCTCCATGACACTCAAAGCTCTAGAACTTTATCGTTTAAGAATTTTTAAAAAGAAAGAGGGATAAAAATCCCATCATGAAATATCCACAGAATGAATTCAAAAGAATTAATCCAATAATTCTTTGGCACTAAAACTTGTTAAACTAAATATTTTAACAGGAATAAAATGATGGAAATACAGATATACATGTATTAAATAATAATCTGGAGGTAATGTAAATAATATTTTGTATATAGTAAGTATAAGCATGCATACATTTACAGCTTTGACTTGTATCTGAGACATTACATTATTTTGCAAAGTAATCAGAACTGATGTGGCCACTCTATGATGCATCCACAGATCACCAGTCAAGCAAATCTCTAACAGAGGGTAACTCTATTGGCAATGCATCGTTGTATAATTCAGAGTCACTGGTACTGTGTGATAGAGGCATCTTGATGTCTATATACTGTACATGTGCTCTCTCTATATAGCTTATCAGTCCACTGACAACTTCAATTGTGGGGTTGCCATCACAATTTTAAATAAACTGGAGTTCAGCTGTGATCCTTAGCTCTCTATAGAAACAAGCCAACCTCTTGTCTTCTACAGGGTATGTGGAGTACTCCAATTGGTTAGCCAATCAGAATGCAGCATTCCTCATACGCCCATATTGCTGTTTCAGCCAATCAGAATGTAGCATTCCAGTCTTTCACCCAATCAGCCCTACCACAGCACTCAAATACGATGAATGAGCCGGAGGAGGTTTCAGTTCAACTTTTGAGACTGTGGCTTTCCACTAGTGCAGCAGGCTAATGAGTAAAACCAGGCCCATACACCGCAGACTGAGCAAGCAAAGATGCAGTCAATGGCAAAAGTGGGCAGAAAAAGGCAGAAACCACATTTTGTTGAAGAGATTGATAGAATTGCTCAAGAAGAGCAATATATTGCATCCATTTTATTTGGGAAACTTTCTCAAACTACCAGAAAGCTGACAGGATTAAGACAATAAGATAACGTTTCATAAGAAAAATGTCAGGGATAAGAGGCAACGCAGAAATACGGTTAAGAGTGTAATATGGTGAAAGACTGCTAAGGACATACGGTATACCACACTGTAACTCCCTGCTTTAGAATTGTGTACATCACCCTTCAACGCAGAGCATGGGTATGCTGTAGCCTGTTTTTAAAATCAGTATCCCTGTGCACCTGACAAATCAAAACAGTTGTACTCTTGTACTGTATGTCTTACTGCTTGTTCCCTTTCTTTCAAGCATCCTCCTCCATAAAATTCACGAAGCCAGGGTCTGTCATACTGCTGAGCAGCTCTAGAGGCGTCAGCATCCGCTGGTGCAGGTTGAGTTCTCTCTCTCTTGGCTGTGGAGAGGAGGTACGCGGCCCCACTCCCCCCCCCACACTTCAGGCCCATTGAGCCTGGCGAACAGGCCACCGACAGCACTGCTGGCTGCCACCTGTGATGCAGTGTTTTCTCGAGCATCACTTCCTCAGTGAGTCCCACAGACCCGTAAGCCAGCCCAATAGATTGCTAATGAGAACTCCCTCCCTCATCCCTCATCCCTCATCCCTCATCCCTCATCCCTCATCCCTCATCCCTCATCCCTCATCCCTCATCCCTCATCCTCTCCCTTACTCACCCTCACCCCTTCCAGGCAGGGACCGAAACACAGACTAAGACCTTTTTCCTCTTGGCTGTTCTTATAAGCCTCTTAATTAGCCCAGAGGAGTGGCTAATTCCACACAGAGCTCATTCCGACAGCTCCTTCCCCTCATGTGGAATTTCACTCCCTCTGACTGCCAATTACTCATTCAGACCAGCTGTGCATCATTTTCCATTTTTTCCCAATTACCAGGCAGCCATGTTGGCTCAAATCTCCACCACAGGGCATGTGTCTTCAGCCAAGATGGTGGTTTTCTCACAGATGTTGCAATGTATTTGAGTATTGATATACGGTTATTCAATTAACCTTATTGTTCATATGTGATGGTTTATATATATATGTAGCTTCATATATGGTTCATATTTCTATATATGGTGTATACAGTATGTTAAGAGTCTGTTAACAGCATTTAATGAGGAAAATCATTGAAAATTATTTTGCAGTTCTCTGAGACCACTGTCTCAGAGAACTAAGATAGTGAGATGCAAATAGATGACACTGTATATCTACAAAAATGCAAATTGAAAATTAGTATGCACAGTTAACAGTCTAGAATTTAAATCATAGGATGCTATGTTAAATTGTACAATCCAATGTAAAGACCTCAATCAAATATGAGCACATTTTGGTCACCGTGCTCCTGATCAGTCCAAACGCATGTTCAGAGGAACAGACACATGAAAGGAACTGAACCTTTTAAGTGTAGAACAGAAAAGAGAATGAAGGGACGTGACTTAATCCACAAAGACACTGATAGCCCAGCAGACATCTTCTAATGCTTATTTTATTTCTACGTGATATATCTGCATGATATTTGAAACCTCGGGCCATTTCAACCTTTAATTTAATTTTGACACAATAGACATCCCTTTCTCCAGCTTTACAATTCTGTGGTTAACCTGTCATGGTGGAAAAAAGCTTTATGAATATGATATGAACACGTCTGCACTTCATACACAAGACCATAAACAAGGGTGCGTAAGTCACGGAGAGACAGCAAGTGCCTTAAAAGAATATTAAAACCTTCTCACTTACCTTTTTCAAAAATTTCCTTCAGCACACCTCGCTTAATCAGCTCTTCTCTGCTTTGCCTCATTGATATTTTTCTCTCTAGAGCTAGAAAGATAAATTCAGAAAGGTGTAAGCCCCAAACCATCCCCTCGGCTTCCTTTTCTTTTGCAGTAGAGTTCCGTCCATTCGTCTAATTGATCTGAAATGCATTCCTCATACAGTATGTCCCCACTCTTTAATGGCTTTTAGCTTTCATCCGCACCTTTAGAATTTGCTTCTGATTTTTTTCTTCTTGGATCAAAAAAGATCCTTGTGTAAAAGGGGCTTGAACCTCTAATAGACTGACCCTTAATGAGGCCACGTTTTTTTTTAACGCACTCATATCTATTCTCCTCTCAAAAAGGAATTTTCTGATGGTGAAATGTCTTCGCTTTTTTAAATATATATTTAACGTTGTTAGTATATGGATTCACATCAGCATGTTTCGCACAACCGGAATACATGAACTCTGCAGAAAATCTTGCAAAGGAGAAATTATAGGTTATATGAAATGAATAAAACATAAAAACTTGAATGAAGATATTCCATTGCATTTTTTTTGCAAACGTGTTTTGGTGAATTGGATTTCTTTTTTCTTTATCACCATTAATTGGAAATGTTGTTTGCCTAATAGGTAACTACCCATCATGAACCTTGTAGATGAATGTTTGAGAGTCTAAATAGTTTTATAACCAACGCTTGTTAAAAGACGGAAATTATAAGACTTGTTACATGACAGAAGATCACCTACCCTTGGAAGACACTATTTGAACCAATTAGAACAAATAGCGCTTAGGATATTTTCCGGTTTGCATTATTTATTTTTTAAAAGCGACACCTGTAAATTGTACCAGTTTCAGGGATACTGAAGCAGTGGAAGTGACAAAAGGTTTCAAGACAACCTGGTAAATCTGCAGGCTTTGCAGTGGACTAAAAAGAAGTTTGAATTTGACTGAGCCAAGAGTAAGGGGATCTCTGCCTGAGAGATTACCTGTTTTTGACAGAAACTCTATCCAAAAGTCACCCGACAGCCAAAACTCATTTTTGGAGGCACTTTAGTTGTTTGGAATTAATAATTGGTTAATGGGTTAATTACCAGACTGGAACAGTCCAAAGCTATAGTCAGTTAATGCTGTCTTCAGCAGCTTTGAAAAAAAGACATTAAATGCAAAGTTAAGCATTAAACTTAAAGTAAATCTAGCCTTTATTACTAAAAAAATCAATGATGACGATTAACTACAATTTTTGATCCAACATACCATGTCTCCAGTAAATGAGGAGTCTTCCTATGCAAACCTAAAAAGATCACCTACTTATGGAAGCTGTGATAAGCATGAATTGTAGAAAAACAACCTGCCTAATATGATTATAGGAGTCTACAACCGTATACAAAAACTTGTAGAAACAGGAAAGTTCCAAAGAATATTTCAAAAAGAGAAAAATGTCCACAACAATGGCCTATAGTAATGATCTCTAGTATTCCGTCATAATTCTCTATTTATCACAAGCTTCTGAATTAAAAAGAAGGTGTCTGAATAAAGGTGATAATTGTAGTTCCAATTAAAAAAAAAACACGTTTCTCTGAAAGATGGCCCTTCCAGTAACCATTTTTAAGTACAAAAAGAGATTTTTGTAGATGTGCAATACTGTTCCTTCGAATAGTTTAAAACCAAAACCTTGATTTAATATTTTGCCAATGATCTTTTTCTGTGTTTATTTATTAGAGAATTTTCATATGCATCTTGTGAATGTGACTACAAAAAAACAAAATTTAAAGACGATGAATGATTTTGCAGCCAAGTGTTGGGTAGGCAAAGAGTCGCTGTGAAGAGAAGGAACATGCTTTTCCAGGATTACCCAGGAGACTCTGAGAGGAGTGGATTAAGAAATGATCACACAAGGCTGAGTTACATTGGGTCTTCTGTGCTCCAGATGTATAGATGCGTGGATTTACTGTGGCTTTGCAAAAGCACCACTAACAGGGTAACTTTGATGATATAATAGTAATCTATTGGTATTATAAATATATATATATATTAAAGATCTCCTCGTGAATGAGCCAGGCCATATGACAAGCTCATCCATACTTTAAAACCCATGTTTCCTGTTACAAAAGTATAAACCTGTTACAGAAAAAGTCTATAAGTAAAACTCTGCCTTTAGTTTGAATAAAGTGGATGGTTCACCTAGTAGTTTGCTTTTGAAACATCTTCCATTTTGTGTGAATGACTAAGAGATCAGATCAGATCAGATCACTTTATTGGCCATATACAATTTCTTGCATTAGGAATTTGTCTTTTCGCAGATCCCAGCTTGTTCTCCATGAGACACACAGACAGGGAGAGAAGGTGGGGGTCAGAGCACAGGCTCAGCCATTTATACAGCGCCCCTGGAGCAGCTGGGGTGAAGGGCCTTGCTCAGGAGCCCAACGGAGTAGGATTCCTCTGCCAGCCACGGGACTTGAACCAGCAACCTTCCAGCCACAGGTGTAGATTAAAAGCAGGGTGGTTTATATATTTGATATAGATGTTCTGAAGATCTTGGGTGTAGAAGAACACCAGTTTTATTCCAAACTAAACTCATTTTCTAACTTGGCAAAGATAACTATCCCATCACCCTATACAACATGTAGGTAATTCAATTTGAGCCACATGCTGTACAATGGCTTATTGTCACGGGAGCCGGTCCTGACTCCCATGAAGCGTAGTTTAGGACCGTGTGCAGACGGTATAATCCGGAAGTGACTGGAAAAGGGCTACGGGGAAAACACAGTTAGGAAAGGAAGGGATGGCGAACAGGGGGCGGTGCCGTCAGTGATCAGGTGAAAGGAGGGAGCACAGGGAAACAAGTCCAGGGAAATCCAGGCACAGTCTAAAATCCCAAAACCGGGTGATCCATCCAAGACGAGACAGGGTTCCAATCCGGAGCGGGATCCAGAAGAGGAGCAGGAGGTTAAAAACAGAATGACGAGGCCAGGCGTTCCGAGCCCCAGACTCAGCTGGGTCAGAACGCTGATCGGAAGCCTAAGCCCTCAAGCTGCGGACGTAGGGTGACTTGATGGTAGGCAGGCATCGAGGCCTCCATCTTCCAATGCAGGGCCAGGAATGGCGAGAGCACCAGGCTTAAAAATTGGCAGACTCAATAAGGGACAGGTGAACGTAACAAACTCAAATAGGAAAGGGTCAGAGCGCCCTTGAAGAGGAGGGATGACGATCGTGACACTTATCAATTCTGGGCTTATCCTGGTTTCAAGGCTTGCGGCAACCAGAGATCCCAACTAAAATACACCTTCAGCTGTTCCTGGAAAATGTGGAGATCATACTTGCCAAAAGCTGTGTAATGACTAAATAACCTGGCACCCCGATACTCCGAGAAGAAAATGGTTTTATTAGGAAATGTATTATGTACGCTCTTGAAAGGAACAGCTGCTGAAATATCAGGTTTATTTTATTACATTATCAGAAGCTGTCAATTAATGACCTTTGAACTTAAATGACTTCAAGGGCAGCAACAGTTACATAGTGTCTTTTCTATTCTAAGAAAAGCTCTATTGATTAGTGTACATTGTTCATTTATTCGGAGGCCTCTTTTATCAGTTCATAGTCTTGTTTATTAAATAAAAAATGATGTCTGTATCTGTTTCAGTCATTACATAATGGGATCTAATAACTGTTAGCTAATTCACTGTCAAACCAAGAACTGTTTGTAGGAATTTTTGGATGTTTAACAATCAAAATGATTAAAAAAAAATAACATTTGACAGATCGTTCCTTGCCATCACCACTTTAAAAGGCTGCAGAATATTAAACATAGCTACTTAGTTGTTAACAATGTTTCAAGTATGACAGTTGTTATACAGCAAGCTCAACAGAACACAAGACACTGGTGCTCAGTTAAGGAACCAAGACTAATGCATTAAGCAGTGAACAGCAACGCACAGAAATGAAGTAAAACAGCATGTGGCACAGTTAGTTCAAATCTCTTCTAGTTACGCTTCACCGTTCTTGCTCAAGACAATCATGAGATCATACGATGCTGCTGGTAATAAAAAAAAGCAACAACACAAACGTTAAACCATTTAACAAGTATAAGAAAAAAAAATGATACTCCTATTAGTGAGTCCAATCATTTTCATCAATGGCCCCCACCAAAATTAGAAAGTCATTACAAAGAATTTAACGTCACATAAATATGACATTATCAAGGGAGCCTTGACAGAGCCAGTCGAGTAAGTGCAGAAAACAAGTACCGTAAAAGCTCTGAGTTTATCATAGCTGTGTACCCACGGCATTTTGAAATGTAAAATGTGATTTTGTTCTTGCTAACAGCTTCAGGAGGTTTATTGCAAATGATGTTTACAATTGCTGGTTCTTAAGGCTCCTTTTCGGAAACACACTGAACGCTGTCTGGAAGCCCTGAAGCATCTGATCCTAAGCACATCATTACCCAACGAGGCGCTGTTTACGGGGTAAATCTTCAGAACAGGGCAGGATTACTGTTCACTGCATTTTGTAAACTGAACAAACCATGGATGTGAGAGAGACGGAGCAGTTTAATGCACCATTGAGGGGGGAATGATTTCCTTTCCTCCAGCGGCCTGTTACAGCATGCGTTCCTAATGGAACACAGCTCGTGTTGTATATGTACCTCGCAGAAAACCTGAGGTGCATATTTTCCGTCTCGCTTGTTTGATTGGGGTGGTAAAATTCAGTGTGCTTTATGAGACGGTTTTAGCTGCCGCTACTAAGAGAGTAGAGACCAAGAGACTTCTAAAACTAGGAAAAAAAAGGTTGAACAGCACTTCTCCTGTGCTGCTGTTACTGGTGTTTTGAGGAAACCTCTCTAATTTTGCCTGTCGACTTTTTCTGCCTTCTGAAAAATGTGTTGAACAAAAATAAACCTCTCTCCAGTCTCAAAAAAGTCAACCGTAAAGCTCCGTGGAGATCCTGTTGAAGAAGGGATGCCAGAATGGGTCCCTAATCTTAGCATGCTCCACGATGACATATAAGAAGGGATTCTCAGCGATGGGGTCATCACAAAACCCACTTTCAAGCAAGGCTTATTTT